GTTGGCTTTCATGCCTAAGGCAGGCCTAGAATTTAACAGTTTCTCAGTTTGACCGTCTTTTTGTTTCATAAAATCATAAATATGAGGTATAAGAACTGCATCTTTCAAAATTGAGTTGTTCGTGTTGTTGCTGCAAAAAATACAACTTAAGCATTTTAGCTGCATATACTGTGCTCCATATATCTCTTTCCTGACATAGAATTCCCCATCTGATCCCTTAAGATAGCAAAAGCACTTGTACCTCCATTACTTGTCCATATAGCCATTTCATTTAATATTTACTTGTCATCCATGTTATACATGAATTTTCTGTGCAGGAGACAACTATGGAATGTAACTGCTGCCTGACTTTGTTTGTATTGCACTGAAATATTTCATTGTCTGTCTGGGCAGCCTGCTGTTAGAAAACTAGGCTACTGTGTTTAATACAACTTTCAAGTTTGGAAAAGCAGTAAGAACATTGATTTTTCCTGCTGGAGACTTTGCTGTTGCTGATGTTCTGGTTAACCCAAAAAAATTGACTTTTATTCTTTCCTTTTGATAAAGCAAAATGCATATACTTTCTTATTGATTTATGACATTGAAAGTGACCTCTGGCAGATTAAAGGTGTGTTGTTCTTCCCATAAACCAGGTATAGAAAGTATTCATCTCAATATGGTTGGGATGTGAAGATTTCAGGAGAATGCTTTAGTGTTTGAATTGTGAACAATTTCCTGACAAGCAGGATTTCTCTAAAGCAGCGGGCCCCCCAATGTTTTGGGCACCAGGGACTGGTTGCATGGACAGAGGTTTTTCCTCAGCCCAGAGAGGGCGTGGTTTCATGTGCTGCCTGCATCCTGCAGATAGGGCTTCGTTTGTTTGCACGGCCCGGTTTCTAGCATGCCTAGGACGAGTGCCGGTCCTACGGACCGGAGGTTGGGGACTCCTGCTCTAAAGAGTTTGTTTCAGCTTTTAGAGTGTACATATAGGATGTTGCAGTTGTCTGATTTCTGGGTTCATTTTGTTAGTACAATACAAGGCAAATATTTAGATCTTTCAGTTGGGTTTCATGCTAGGATTCAATACTGAGACAGCTTTGGTGACACATGTTGATGGCCTGTGTGGAACCCAGATGGAGGTGGCATAGCCATACTTAAACTTCTTTATCTTTCAGTAGCCTTCAATACTATTGATCACAGACTCCTTCTGGATTGGCTGTGGGAGTTGGGAATTAGAGGTTGTGTTGGCAATTTAAACCATTATTTATTGGTGATCCTCGTCTTTTCCTTCATGACCAGTTCCAGTTGGTGTTGGCAAAGGGGAGAGAGATTGTCCTCCAGGCCCCTCTTATATGGGGTTCTGGAGGGTTCAATGCTCCATTCCTTCCTGTATTCTTACTTTTTATTCATTTGTTTAGTCAGTGAATAGCAATCCAGCTGAGCATGTTTGAAAATTTGTGTTTAATTGGGTTGCAAAAATCTATATACAGTTATTGTTCCTTCTGGTTATCTTTTATAAGATGATTTAGCATTTTTTGTATATACCAGTGGTGGCGAACCTATGGCATGTGTGCCAGAGGCGGCACTCAGAGCCCTCTCTGTGGGCAGGTGCGCTGTCTCCCCAGCCCTGCCTCCCCCTGCGGCCCCCTCACCAGCAGCCTCCCCAGAGGAGAGTCGACCCCTGGCGCAGCCCGCACGGAGCAGCGCAGCCAAGAACATGGCAGACGGGCAGCAGGGACAAGACTCCGCCCTCGTGCCCTGTCGCACGCAGATGATACTGTTGGGCACGAGCGGAGGGCATGACCGCCATGGCGCTTCAGGGCTGCCTGGGCGATCTGCTGCGGCAGGCCATGGAGATGGTGGGTGGCCCTGCGGGTGGGTGGGTGTGGCGGAAGAGGCGGAGCAGGTGGGCGGAGTGGTTTTTGGGCACTTGGTCTCTAAAAGGTTCACCATCACTGGTATATACCATTATTGGGGTATTCAGACATGATTGGATTTTAGCTTTCAGCTTTTATGAATATCCTCTATCCTGTTTTGTCTTGTCCACTATTTAGAGGTCAGAATATGGTCATCTTATTTAGGAGTTATAAAAATAGAAATACTTAATAGTTGCTCCTCTCATTCAACTGCAGGGGGCAAATGTCTAATCAGATTGTTGCAGAATTATATTCCATATTCTTGGTGCTATTTAAAGAAAGTAAAGGAAAAGTAGTTACTACAAAAATTATCAGCTGCTCTTAGAACTGAATTTGACTGGTTTCCCTTTTTTTTTTCAAGCATAAAATGTTTTTTTTTAAAATCAAAACTATTCATACATTCATTCTTTCTTGTCTTTCTTTGTACAGTATTTATTTTATTGCTGAGAATCTAAGTAAAAAAAATTCTAGGTTATGCATCAGGGCTAATGCTGAAATAGTCCTTTACCAATTCATATAAAATTGTCTAGACCTCATGGGAATTGTCTCAAATACAGTAGGCCAAGGAACATTTTTGTTCTTTTGCAATTCTGTGATAAAATCAGTGCTACCTTAACTGACCCTGCCTATATCATATGCAAATCAAGAGATGGTTATCATTGTAATTGTAAGAAGTAATTTCTCAATAATATATCATTGCAGTTTAACTGAAAAAATGTTCAATTTCTACAGGACACTTGTGTCCAGACAGTAAGTTTGTCCCCTTTATATGCAATGCAGGACTAAAGGACGTTCAGAATATTGTTTAAGAATTTCAGTGTTTATTAGTACGTTCTCCATGTCAAAGTAGTCATTTTTTGATACATTAATTTCATATCCACACTCCTTGATTCATCATATGGGATTCCCAACACCTAGGCCACCAACCGGTCCTCGTCCGTGGCCTGTTAGGAACAGGACCGCACAGTAAACTGTGAGGAATATAGGTTCTGTGCTCCTTCTCCCCCCCCTTTCCTCCAGTTTGTGAAAAAATTGTCTTCCACAAAATGGGTCCCTGGTGCTAAAAAGGTTGGGGATCACTGATATAGTAAGTTTAACAGTTGTTTTGAATAATTTGAATTCTTAGTCAACGACACGACATCACCAACACATAAAATGCAGTAGATATATATTCACATTCCCAAACAACATGACCACAAGTATTATTTACATGATTATACATAAATACATTAAACAACCAAGTGACCATTGCACACCTTGTTTTTCTCCCTGCTGGGGAGGTATATCCTTTCTTCCATTTTTCCCACGTATGCTTTACTTCCAACATGCTTACTTACCTTATTCAACAATCAAATGTAATCTCCACATTCTTGCGAAACACTTAATAATTCAAACATACAGTATTCAAACATACTGTATTCACTTTATCAAAAACTTTCTTTAAATCAACAGATGTTCAAGAAAACTTTCTCAGATCTTTCAGTGACTTGCTGAAGACCAAAAAATCTGTGTATTTCTTGCTGTGTTGCACTTCCCAACTTCTGCTCACTGTCAGTTCCTCTAACTGTCAATCAAAATTATGCCAAATACCTTAAAGCAGGAATGACTCTCTCCATAGAGCTTTTCTAAAATGTATAGGCAGTCCTCAACTTATAACCATTGATTTAATAACCATTCAAAGGCACTTACGATTGGTCCTCACAGTTAAGACCACTGCAGCATCCCCCCCAGTGATGTGATCAAAGTTTGGGCACTTGGCAACCGGCATGTATGTATGTACTGACAGTTGCAGCATTCCAGAGTCATATGATCACCAACATATGACTTGGCTTCCAACAAGCTAAGTCAATGGGGAGAGCTGGATTTGCTTAACAATTGCATACTTCACTTAACAACTATAGTGATTCATTTTACAACTGTGGCAAAAAGGTTTTAAAATCCTGCACAACTCACTTAAGAACCAACTTGTTTAACAATGGAAAGTTCCAGTTGTGGTCATAAGTAGAGGATTACCCGTATCTTTTTCATGCTTTATCAGTAGTGGGTTTTTTTTTCTTATACTATCATTCATTTTTATAAAAATCTGTTAAAAGCTTAAAATTTTAAAATATCTGCCAAGTACTTTTAGAGATATAGTTAACAGATTAACCCAGCTATAGGGTTTTTAAAATTCATTCTTGCTACATTTCCCTATTGTATAAGGAAAGAATATAATGACCATATTCTTCCAATACTGCAATATAGGGCAGAGACTCACTTTACATACATGTTATACAAGTTACACAGATGCTCCATAAGGAAAGCACGTTCCTATGTTAACATGTCTTCAGTTAACACTCTGTGTATCCTTACTATCTTTCAACATGCTTATTATAGGAGTTATGTTTTCCTTTTCTTGGACAATAACACAGCATTCATTTCAATTCCATTCTCCAGCATATCACAGTGATTCCCATGCAGGTCTCTAAAATTAGTACTTTTAGCCTTCTCTCACGTCAACATCATCCCAACTCACTTTGTTAGTTTTATTTTTAATTCCATTCACTTGGCTGGAGGCTCCCTGTTTGACTTGTCTCAAGGGATTCCTGCTTTCATAGACATCCATTATTATCTAGATCAGGGGTGTCAAACTGCCGGCCGCCGGATGCGTCATGCTGAAACCGCGCCCACCCAATTGCCGGCAATGGAAAAAAAAGTTGCCATACATCGTGACACGTCACGTGATGTTGCAAGTTTGGCACCCCTGATCTAGATGATAGCAGTTCCTATTTTATGACAACCTTTTTGTTTGTAATTAAATCTGCTTCACTTTATATCTACGTTATTAATCACCTCATTCAGTGGCAGCGAAGAAAGACAGCAGACTCAAACTTTTTTGTTTAGTGATTCAACTGGATGTTTGTTGATGCTTTTTGTTAATGCTATAAAGAGTCCAGAAAAGAGACTTCTTTCCATCCAAATGTGTATTCTTGATGGTCATGGTTTTTGGTACCTGTAAAAAGAAAAGATACTAGATGGGTTTACATAACTTAGGGATGACATGTTTATCAGTATCAACTTTGTTTTTCAGAACTAGCCAATTCGTCACTGCCTCTTGCTGGAAAAAAATAAGAACTTCTTTTCAGGAAGAGTCTTGATCTCATGAACGAATCAACAGATCTTGGAGATGCAAGCACTCTGGAGCCAGTTATACGGCTCAGGAAGGGACACATGCCCAATTCTGCTGTGCAAGAATATGATCATAGTGACAAGTCCAGTGAGCAGAAACCCCTCTTAGTAGAACCATCAGCATCATCTGAAAAGGTAACAGTGAATAATTGTTATACTGAAATTTGAACACAAAGACAGACTTTTCTTGAATCATATGTTTACTTAAGTTAATGACTACAATGATATACATTAATCTGTAAGGTGGTTTTTTTTGAGTACCTTAGGAACAATTATAGTCCTGTTTAAATATACTTGATTCCGGAGCTGCAGGCAATAGTCGTATTGCCTTCTAGAGTGGCTGAAGTATTTTAGCTGTTTTGAAGGCCAATCCTATGTAATCAGTTTTATTTTTGTTAATAAGTTTACCAGGGCAGACAATAAGAGGTGAAGTCTTAGGGAAATGACATATTGGTGTATTATCCACACTGGATATAAACCTCTTTTCTATAGGTGGTTGTTTGAAAATTTAGGATAAATATTAGACTACTGAATTGAGTCTCTACCTATACATCCAGGTTGTACCTGCACTCACCTTTCTGTAGCATTGAAACGAAACAACAGAGCAATCAAGAACCATCCTAATGAACTTATTTTGTAGTCCTTAACACAAGGTATTGCACCCAATTGACATAGGAATGGTCTTTCAGCTGTTGGACAGAATGTTTATATTATTTAGATCCTTAACTAGGGTTCTCTTTGACAGTTAACATCATAATCTTAAATAATCTGCAATGTTTTGGAACCCATAAAAAGATTTGGGATTTTTGCCAGGAATACCCTTCCCCCAAAACATTGTAAGAACATTCAAGGAAACAAAGCATCTAGTGTATTGATACTGATCAGGTTTTAAAATACATTTGTTTGAGACTAAATCTGTTTAAGTTAACTGAGAGCTAATCTCTATTAAATTGAGAGACAATGAAGTTTTGGACTGGCAATGAGAAGTGCCATTTTCAAGTCCTTCCTCAGAAGTTCATCAGAAATGGGAGAAAGAAAATTATTTCCTATTTCCTATTATTTAATAAGGAGAGTTTAAAAGTCTCCTTCTTTAAACATTTTCTCCTCTCTGCCTCTCTGTTGAAATATGGTGGGATTGTACAACTGTCCTAAATATGGCATTGTTTGACATATGGCATTGATTCTCTTCTGATCACTGTTTATTCAATATTCACATCCTTCTTTTAGCTGTAGCTTCTATGAATACTCTTGTTGGCAATGTGATGAAGATGTTGATGTTAAGGAATGCAGCAGTTCTGAGCTTGGGTCTCTGGAGGGAGGGAGAGAGCGTGCACCTGAACATAACCTGTAAAGAGGTTAAGCCAATGTCATATATAGCTATAATTTTAAGAGCCGACTTTGCTTTCATCCCTCTGTGCAACAAGCATTAAATGCCCTCAGTAAGTTATACTGGCTCATCTTAAGCGTTTCTGCAAATTGCTCTTACATTTGAAATTTTAAAGAACTTCGAAAAGGTTCTTTAAACCCAAAAAGATATGAAGGCCTAAAGGAAAAGCGACAAGCAAGATACTCTATTGAATTAAAAATTCACACTTATTTTCCTGCTCTCAGCAGGACAGTTTGTTCATTTTGTTTCGTGTGATCTGAATTTGCACACAGTTGCAAAATGGAAAGGGCAGATTATAGTATTTGATTTCTAAAGAAGAACATCAAATAGGGCCAGGATTAAAAAAAGAAGGAACACCCATTTTCATCTTGCAAAAGAGCGCTAGTGGGTGCACATGGGAGGGAGACGGGAAGTGAATGGGGAAGTTGCCTCAGATTCAGAAACTACTGTTGAGTCATGCAGTCCAAGTTAGATTATGCCCTCTGTTCCAAATTCCAAGTATTGTTGTTCTGGAGCTTCTCCTTTTGCACTTGGAAAGAAAGTGCAAGTTTTCAATGTAGTTTCAGAGGGGGCTTCGTACGTCTGGAAAAGATAAAATCCAATTGGCTGGAGACTAGCAGAGCATAGGTTAAAGCGAAGATATGGTCGAGAGAAAATTCCAATTCTGTCCACATCATTGAAGGAGATCATAGGACTAAGTCACTGGTTTTGCTTTAGTGCCACAAGCCTCTCTGTGTTCAAGATATGGTAGATAACCTATTTTAAGAGTCATTTCGAAAAACAAAGAGCTGCTTTGTGTCCTCATGAAAAGAAGGAAATATTGCTGGCTGGTTGGCTGGCTTCAGACTGTTTAAGTTCACAGATCTGCATACAGACTATATGCCTTAAAGTGTAGCGATAAATTATGCATCTCAAAATGGCTACTGCTAAAGAACTAAAGTGCAGTACTACTAAGCTTTATAAGTGGAATTTAGTCCCAATCAGTCCTGTCATAAAAATAGGCAATTTATTTGGAAAATATATAATGCAGATATTTCTCTGTCCCCATTTATATTAAAACCTTTGTTTGATTGGAAACAGGAGCATATGAATAAAAATACAAGAAACTAATTCTGAATGTGTTTATAGAAAATATACGATCATAAAGAGGACATCGGATCCACTTTCTAAAAACTTCTCTGGTAATGAATCTATTAGTGATCTTGATGCATTGCTTCATCTGTTATTTCAGACATGATGATAAAGCTGTTTTATTGGACTATTTATTGGATATTGGATATTCTTTATCTAGCAAATGCTTTTCTAAAGAAAGGAAATACCATTTACATGAAATTCCATTAGGTGTAACTTACATGTTGATTTTCCTTTTTAACTGGATAAACCACTGTTTTGAAATTTGCAGTAATCTATGTACTTAATTTTTTTTAACCAGTTAGACTTACTAGGTGATAGGTATTTGGGAAGTAGTAAGGGCAGAATTATGTATAACAGTGCTTTCAAACTTGGCAACTTTAAGATTGTGGACATGAATTGCCAGAATTCCACATGCTGGCTGGGCAATTCTGGGAGTCGAAGTCCACACACCTTTAAAGTTGCCACGTATGAAAAGCTTGCTCCGCATAACCATATGGATTGGGTGGAGCCATAGATAGCTTTTAAAATAAATGAATAAATATTCAGGTTTCCCCCCATCAATTTTGCTGCTTTCTCTCTGTGTTGTAGCTGTCTGCCCTTCCTTACTTCCTTTATCTCTCTGCCCTTCGCCCTTTGAATGGTTGGAGTGTCTTTGTTTCCTCTGCTATTTCTTCAGTTACTGATACTGCCTAAACAAATGCCTCTTACTGTGGTTTTTGTTAAACTGGCACAATCAAATGCATGTGACTTTTATCACCTGATGAATGGGCTTTTTATGTACAGCTCTGAAAACCTGCACTTGATTCTCTCCTTCCCCCCTCCCCGTTATAATCCTTATAAACAAAAGGCTGTTTTCTTCCCATCTTTTCCCAGCCACCCTAGCTTTTTGCTCTTGATGGATGGTGGGTTTTGTCTAAAAGACCTGCATCTGTGGTGTTCTGTGCATTTTTAGTGTGTGGCCTAGAAGCGTAACTGTGAAATTTTGGATCCGTTGCGCTGAGGCCTTTGGTACAGCGTGAAGAATAACAAACCAGAGCACTTGACTCTTCTTCATGGCAAAAGCCCAGCTGGAACATTGGTTAGACAACCGGGGCCTTGGTGACTTCTGAATTCAGCTGTTTGACCTTTTGGAAAGAATCTGTCAGTAAGCCTGCTTTGAAACTAAAAATATGCTTTTTAGTTACAGCAGACTAAAGAGGAGAGACCCAACAACAGTATCAAAGAAAAACTAAGCTAAAATATTTTTAAAAAGCATAAAATATTTTTAAAAAATTATTAAAGGTACAGAAACAATTTTTAACTCTTGTGAGGAAAAAAAGCAGCTATAAAAGTTCATTCATGTTAATGTTTAGACAAATGGTGTTTTATCTATTTTTCATGTCTACACAATATTTTGTACATATTTATAGTTATTTTCCTCCACTGTACCTTTAAATTGTACATACCATTTCTTCCCCATCGTGTTCTGATTTAATTTTTGAGGGTGTTTTTTTTTTGCAAGGAGTGACAAACAACATTCAAGACAAAACTGTCAAACATAACAAGCTTTTCTTTCTGTTTCTTTGTGCCCCTCACAAATGTGTAGTGGAAAATTCCTGACTCTGTAGAACTGCTTTGGGAATTGTTAGGAAACCAGAAGGACCTGCAGCTCACAAAAGCTTATCTCTTTTAACAAAATTTGTTAGACAGAAAAGGTGCTACCAGATCCCGTCTAATTTTTAGCATGACTTTCCTCTTGCGATGTCTACAGCTGAGGAATGCTGAAGAGGAGAATTCATTCTCTCAGTGAGGGGTATTCTACTGTCAAAAAAAGACACCACTTCACACAATCTTAAACTGATACAAAGTTTACGGAGTTCAGTTTCAGACATCTGAAATTTACTGAGAAATCCTATCACATAATATAGTTTGGCCAAAACCACCATCACTATGTGCTTGAGATTGCTTTGATGCTGTTTTGCAGGATCTGTTCTCTGTGTATAAAATTGTTCAGACATTCATTTGATGACGTATACTTGTGTTTCCCCGAAAATAAGACCGGGTCTTATTTTCTTTTGCCTCCAAAAGAAGCACCAGGTCTTATTTTTGGGGGATGTCGCACCGACAGCCCTGCCCAGCAGGTCCATTTCTTTTGCGGCTGAAGGAGCAGCTTCATTCTGCAGCCGTATTCCGGCCTGCATTTCGCAGTCAGGCCTTTCCGGAAGACCTCTGCAGCTGAGTACCGAGCTATGGATTCAATCAATAGCTCGGTCCTCGGCTGCAGAGATCTTGCAGAACCCAGCTATAGACTGAATCCATAGCTCGATTCACAGCTGCAGAGGCCTTACGGAAAGGCCTGTGACTCAGAAATGCAGGCCTGTCTGCAGAAGACGCCGCAGAAGAAGTGGACCGGCGAGGAGAGGCCTGGCTGCAAGGTAAGTGGGTGCAGGGCACATAGGGCAGCTCCACACCCCTGCCCTGGCTTGATTTTTAGGTGTGTGCCTCGCCCCAAAACTAGGGCTTATTTTCGGGGCAGGGCTTATATTAGACCCACCCCCAAAAATCAAGCTAGGGGTTATTTTCAGGGTAGGCCTTACTTTTGGGGAAACACAGTATATGACTTGGAGAGAAAAGACAAGGAAAAAATTCCATTTGTTGTCTTTAAAAGAAAAAAAAAGCATTGTACCAAGTAAATAGGTCATTTCTCTTTCTGGAAGAAAACTTTTTCAACAGCTGTTGTAGATGTGTTTTTTTTTCCTCTTGTGCTTCATAAAGCCAATCTCTGCCAGGGAGTTTGTCACACTAATACACAGCTGCTTTGGGAATTAATATATGGTCAAAAGAGATGGGGGAAAGATGTTTTGAGGGCAGCTGCAGTTCTTAGTTCTTGCTGGTTTCAGAGTGCCTGGTCATTCTCCAAAGAAGTTGACTACACAGCCATTACTTGTGTTGCTGTTGAACAGATATGCAAAGGTTGGTTATTTGTCTGACACACAGACTAAGAAAAAAGTTATTACACTGAAACTGTTTTTAAGATAGAGGACCAAATCATATTTGTGTCTAAATTATGGAAAACTATTATTTATTAATCACATTTTGTACAGCCGTCCATCTCACTAAAAGCAACTCTGGATTGTTTTTAGATAGCAAGGCATAGTGGAAAATCAGAATCTAGTCATTTTACCCATTTTATTTTTTTAAAAAGAGATACTGTAGAAACAAATTTCGGGGGATTAGGTATGTTGGCATGATAGACCAAAAACAAGTAATATAAAATCTTTTGATAAAATGCAATCTGTTACACTTAAAGAATATAAGACTACGTCTGGGAGACATTTTGCATACAGTATTTTGATCACCAGATTTATTATTTAGCACCCTGTAGACTAACACTTTTTTTTGCATGATAATGAACCTTATGACTTCAGTTTGATTTATAACCTTTCTCGACCTGGTGCCCTTCATTTGCATTGGGCTAGAGCCCCCATCCACAAGGGGATAGGATACTCAGTTAATGGGAAGAGAGGTCTAGTGTAAGTCCAGTATACATGGATGATATCAGGATATGTAGTGCTCACCTACATCAAAGAGGACCAGCCTTATATACATCTAATATGGACAATGACTGTGTAGTTCTTCTGGAATCTCTTGCCGCGCTTTAATGTTACCATATAAGCTTATCATCCATTCTCTTTGTGTGTATTTCTCACTCCTGACTTTGACTTCTGCTGTATTCTGCTGCACCTGCTCAGTTAACTCAAGCCAGTTTTTCCTCTTCAAAGTTTTTCTGGACTATTATATCTTTATTACCACTTTTGTTCTTGGCTAACCTTTTTACTCTCATTTCAATTCTCTCTTGTTCTCCTGTCTTGGGATGCATCTATTCTATAGAATGGAGAATAGCCTACCTGTGTTCATCCACATTGCTAGATTGCAGTTAGATGGCATCTAGAAGATATAGCCAAAGGTAGTAGATATTGAAGATATAGTCCATCATACCACCCTGGTGAATATACTGGTGCTGGGAGTATCATACATCAGTTACTCCTACAGTAGAGTAATGTTTAGTGCTCTGGGGGCATTTCTTTTGATGGCCATCATCAATGTCATTAAGTTACAGAATGCTGCCTTCCTCACACTTCATTTCTGCAAACTGTAACTGTGTTAACTGTTGTAATTTGCTTATCTTGTCCCCAAACCTCCTGAATTTTTTAAGTTTGCAAAAACTAAAACCCTGGCAGTTCACCATCCATACAGAGAATCATCGCAGCCTTGAATGCTCAACTCAGAAGAGAAAAAGTCTCTGCTCTATTGTGTGTCAGTTTAGAATAACAATTAGCTGCATCCAGATGGCATGCTTCCGTTGGGTTACGCGCCCCTATTGCAGTCTGGTTGCCGAGCCCTTAAGAGCAGAAACACGCCTACGGAGCTCCTCACACAAAATACCCTTGTGATTGGTTAGACAGGCAAGCTTCCTTCTGGAGTCAGGTTACTGCAAAATAATGTCGCTCTTTTGAAGCATTTCATGTAAGTTTCTCTTCCCCTGCTTCTGTGGAATAGGCCGCTCAGGATTGCAGTTGGCAGTAGTTGGCCAAGAGCACAGGAGAAGCCGAGCCATTTATCTCTGATGTTGTTGCAATAAGACTGTTGAGCCAAGTTAATTATAGTGGGCGAAAAGAGGGAGCAGCATTTTGGCGAAAGTTTTTAAGTTTCTGCATCGCTGAGATCCCTCTCTCTGTCTCTCAAAAGAGTAGTTCTCCACCTATGCAGGTGAGAAAATTAAAACTTTTAAAGCTTTTATTACTTTTTAAAAAGTATTTTAAAGCCTCTTAAAGCTGTTTTAAATGGGTAAGAGAATGTCCCCCCCATGCCCTTTAATAAGGGTAATTCCATAGGTCAGACCCAAAGAGAAGAAAAAGATGAAATTCTCTTTAGATAGTGTTTGTCGGGCAGGTACACTCATCTGGAAAGCTATGAAGAGTTTGCAGTGGTGTGATTCTTCTTCAACTTTTTTTCCTTTTAAAAAAGACAAGTGTTAGGTATAGTAATTGATAGGAAAGTTCACTGTAGCTTGCAAACTGTTAAAGGGTGTAAAGGCAACACTGTTTAGGGTAATTGTCGTCTTAACAAATACCGATAGCTAGATCCAAATGAGAAAATAATTTTACCTTATATAAATTACTATAGCTACCTCTGTTTCCATATATTCGAGAATCCTGCGTGTTTCTAGTTCCTCAGCAGTATGTTCCATGTGGATGCTCTTTATTTTCGAGGTCTGATGAAGTGTTTCAATGAAGCCAAGGACTGTCTGTTCATTCTGTTACCACCTGAGAAGGCAGAATAGAGATCTATTAATTGAGGAAAAAGAGAGAGAAACTACCATTGTAATTTGCTGCTACTTCATTGTTTGGAGTTGGGGGGGCTCTTTTTCCTCACTCTTCATAGAGCTATTAAGAAAGGACAATGGGAACATACATCATGGAAAGGGTCATGGGACTGTGCTTATTAAGATCTGATATCTTGCTTATTTCCATTGCCTAGCAATCGCCTTTATCTTCTGTATCAGCTTTAAGAGTCAGTCTCTCTCTCTCTCTCTCTCTCTCTCTCTCTCCAGCTTATACCTCAAAAATAAGAAACAATGAAATGAAAGAATAAACACATGTATATCTGGGACAGATAACCCAACACATTAAAAGAAAACAGTGCTTGACAACCACCTTATCATCTATCTATCTATCTATCTATCTATCTATCTATCTATCTATCTATCTATCTATCTATCTATCTATCTATCTATCTATCTATCTATCTATCTATCTATCTATCTATCTATCTATCTATGGTGGCGAGCCATCGGAGCCCTCTCTGTGGGCACACGTGCCGTCACCCAAGCCCCGCCTCCTCCCATGGCCTCCTTCTCACCAGCAGCCCCCCCCAGAGGAGAGTCGCCCCCGGGCATAGCCCACATGAAGCAGCACAGCCAAGGACACGGTAGCCGGGCAGTGGGGACAAGACTCTGCCCTTGCGCCTCGTCACACGCAGATGATGCTGCGGGATATGGGCGGAGGGCGTGGCCACCATGCCGCTGCTGGGCCACTTGGGTGATCTGTGGTCAGCCATGTAGGTGGTGGGTGGCCCAGCGGGCAAGGTGGAGCGGGGACGGGGTGGGGGCAGGTTTTGGGCACTCGGTCTCTAAAAGGTTCGCCATCACTGTTATCTAGGAACTGCCTGCCACTGGATGTCTGCTCCTTCTGTGTGGGGGAAGGAAACTTCTTTTTTCAGGCTGCAGGAGTAGAGTTCAAATAACCAGGATTTAAGCTCTGTTTCAACACTCTGTAGGTGGATATCAGATCTCCGTGCATTGAAGGGAACACCTTCAGTGGGCGTTCAGGTCTGAGCTCTTTTCTCCTCACCAAAGTAGTTCAGCCCCCTTCCACTTAACGGAAGGGAACACCTTTGGGTGGGTGCAGGAACCAAGCTCTGATCTTCAGGATCTGAGCTCTTCTTTCCACCCTGCCAAAAGGATTCAGCTCCCCTCAGCAGGCAGCTCTTTCAGCAGACCCCAGAAACAAGAGGGAATCCTCTCAACAAGTGGCAGCAGCTTGCGACCTTCCCTGCCGGCCTCCCCAATGACTTTCTGGGAAAGCTGCCCTGAGAAGAGTGCCGATGACGATCATATGATCGCGGGATGCTTGGCAACCTGTCATAAGTGCAAACGGTTGCCAAGCATCCAAATCACAATCATGTGAGCATAGTGCAGGCAGTGTAACATTTTACGACAGCCGGAGGTGCTTTAGAGGCCCTGAAGCACCCTTTCCAAGGCTGTTGTAGCTTCGAACGTCAGCCACACATAAGTCAAGGACTTCCTATAATAGATGATATTCATGCTGTGTACTTATTTAAACTTTTAGGAAACAAGTAACTTTGGAGATTTTTAATTCTTCTCTGAAAGACCTTGGGATACACAGCAGGAGACAGTTATATTCTCTCTCCTTCACTCTTTCCCAACCATGCCAAAAGCAGCTTCCTGAGGCACATTACACTAAGTTACAGCTAACCAAACAACATCTGTGGAACAGGAAGCTTAGATAAAGTGTCTTAGTGGTTAATCTTCTTGCATTTGTGCATCAACTCACATGTCTGGCATTGTAGTTTACCTTTCAGTTTTAAGTTTTGTCCTTTGGAAATAAAGCTTTTGCTTAACCATTTTTTTTTATTATTTTTCTGTTTCAGGATTCTGGCAAAGATGGGGATGACAATTCAACTCAGGAAGATGAGGGCTTTATGGGAATGCTGCCTCTCCTCCAAGCCCACCACGCGATGGAGAGAATGGAGGAATTTGTATGCAAGGTAAGATGTTGTAAACCAAAGGGGCACCATGCTCTAGTGAGCTTTACACAGCTTGTGGGTCCCGTGGCTAGCAGTGCATGCCCTTCTGGCAACAAAGAGGCAAGTCACAGTGGGTGGCCATCAAGAACCGCCGCCATCTCGGTGGTTACTTCTGTTCTGGTAGATGTATCTTCAGATCTCACGCCTTCCATAATTGGATAAATTAGAAAGTTTAATATGATGTGGATTACAAGTTGAAATGTGGGATTAAACATGTGGTACAACTGGTGAGTCTCCTTTTAGAAACATCTGCAGAAGTGAAAGCAGAATAATACTCTGTGGTTCACAAGTTTCTGGGTCACAGGACTTTAATTTACAAGGTCACATTCCCTCCTTCCCCCCCCCCCCCAATTCTTTCTTTTAGTCCTTGCAAATCTTTTCAAATCACCATATGCTTCTTTTGTATTGGAATCTCATTGTCTCCACAGTACAAAAAATAAAATCCCAATTCTATTGAATTGCTATGTTGGGCAAATCTATTGTATAATTCTGGGAGCAGTACTTGTTTTGATTTTTCTTCAGTTCTTTAAAGGGTAATAGTTCATACTATATAGTAGCCTAAATATAATGCAACTTATTAATTTCAGAAGTAAAACAACAGAATAATTTTGTCCTTGTTTTGCATTTCTGTATCTCCATCAGTGGAACGAGAGATTTAGCAATCCAGTTATCTAACACAAATTCTATTAAAATATAACCCCAATATACAAATGTAGCAGAGGAATCTGCTTCTTACTTTTATCCAGTATTGAAACTATTTAAAAAATTATAATATATTTGATTCCTGTTTGGGAGGAAGCTCTTTTGTGTTCGTTGAATAAACTGGATGTATTAGGTTGTCATTGCTTTCAGGCATTACATATACCTCAGGTGATCTATTATAGAGACTTGCAGCCCAGTGAGTTATCTGCATGATACATACGTGCTTATTTTTTCATTCCTATTTTTATCACCTGCAAATGGATATTGTGAAAGAACACTTCCTTATGGGAAAAAATTTCACACTAAGCAACGTTATAGCCGTTATAGCACGTAACGTATGCATAGGTTCAAGAAATAATAAATAGTTTCAAAATTTGCATATCATCTACCATTGTGCCCTTGAGCAATGTTAGAAGATGGGAGCATGTGGGAGTAGTAGGGCTGCATTTTGAGGGTAGTTATGTTCTTGTTCTTCTGCAGTTCTTCCTTTTGATACAGTTCAACTAGGAGGGAATCATAATCATCTTGTTTACCAACTTCATGTGGAAAATCAAATGGCCATACAGCATATATGTAGATTTCCTGGAGGGGCAGGATTTTTTTTCAGCAGATCTGTTCCATCACACCATCATCCAGAATGTAACTTCCTATTACTTCCTTCAGGTATGGGAGGGCCGATGGCGTGTCATTCCCTTCGACGTCTTGCCTGATTGGTTAAAAGACAACGACTACCTGTTGCATGGGCACCGGCCACCGATGCCTTCTTTCCGGGCTTGCTTTAAAAGCATTTTCAGAATACACACAGAGACAGGCAACATCTGGACGCATCTACTAGGTACCCTTGATGAAAATGTGGTTTTTTTTTTCTTTTTTCTTTTATAGCTCATATTGGAATAGGAGTGAAAGGAATGTAATATAGCCACTTTGGTAATTCTATTAGAATAAATAGTTTTGGTCCAGTATTAATTTTTGTTGACTTGAACCCAATATTCTGATACATACAGCTCAGCTAGCAAGTTGTAATATGCTCTTCTGCCCAGCTGTGGCTGGTAACAATTTGAAGATTGCTGTTGACCTGCCTGATGGTCACTGTTGATCTACTAGATCCATGTGAAAGGTGGTACTCTACTTCCCGTTCCCTGAAAGAATCATTTTAATTAAGATCACCATACCTTTTTCTATTGTAGCTATCCAACCTATGAATTATATCAGACATGTCAAACTCGAGACGTCATGTGACGTCGCGCAACGTATCGGGATGGTTTTGCCATTGCTGGCAATGGGGTGGGCGCGGCTTCTGGATGACGCGTCCGGCCCGTGGGCCGGCAGTTTGACACCCCTGCATTATATGGTTCCTTTAACAAACTTGAGTTACAATATCAAACTAGTGGTGGTTCTTTTTAACTCTCAGTATTGTTCATTGCATCAGATAGGTTTGTTTTGCTTTTGAGATATCTTTCATTCATCAAACTTCTGAATCAAGATTTCTGGTTCCAGGCTTTGACATGGGCTATCTGAGTTGCAGTGATGCAGACCAACATTATCCATTGCAACTCTCTGTGTTGTCTTTGAAAGTAGCCTTAATTACCTTTGCTTCCTGACCGTTGGGACTAATGTTCCTGTAAATTGCCATTGCAGTCAGTACATACTACTGATCTGGAACAAAACTTGATTTGCTGACATTTTTAAAGTATGTAAATTACAACTATTTTACTTGGCAGGTTATGCTTCAGTCAAAGTACATCTGCCCCAAGCCTTAGTGGCTTACCGATTATATCTCTGGTCAGTGCCACTTCCAGTGCGTAATTACACTAAGCTAGACATAATCCTGATTTTGTGTCAGATCATTTGTTTTATTGGATTTCATAATCCTGCTAAAATGTTTCGTGCACCAAGAGTAACCTTGAAATAGGAAGTGGGGACTGTAGGCAGGTAATAGTTTGGAAGAATCAGAAATTCTAGTAGGACAGACAGACTTGAAAATCTGGAAAGAGCAGTTAGCATTGTTATGAATTTATTGGAGAATTTTGGCAAATCTTTGCCTCTTGTCAGAAAATAAGCCAACAGCAACAGATGGAAACTAGTCAAGGAGAGAAGCAACCTAGAACTAAGGAGAAACTTCCTGACAGCTAGAACAATTAACCAGTGGAACAACCTGCCTCCAGAAGCGGTGAATGCTCCAACACTGGAAGTTTTTAAGAAGAGACTGGACAGCCATCTGTCCGAAATGGTGTAGGGTTTCCTGCCTGAGCAGGGGGTTGGACTAGATGACCTCCAAGGTCCCTTCCAACTTTTTTTTTATTATTATTATTATTATTATTATTATTATTATTATTATTATTATTATTATTATTATTATTATTATTATTATTATCATCATCATCATCATCATCATCATCATCATCATCATCATCATTATTATTATTATTATTATTATTATTAGCTGGAATATGCACAGTCATAAGATAGATGATTTAGAGGCAGTATTTTGTGGTTATTCCCCCTTTGCCCGTCTTCCAGTAACCATGTCTTCCTTTGTCTAGGATGTGTGTTCTTTCTATGTTTGGGGATCTTCTACATGTTCCGGCCAAATATGTCCTTTGTAGCACCCGTTCAAGAGAAGGTGGTGGTTGGATTGTTCTTCTTGGGAGCCATCCTTTGCCTTTCCTTCTCATGGCTTTTTCACACAGTTTACTGCCATTCAGAAGGTGTTTCCAGGCTCTTCTCCAAGTAAGCATTTTAATGATTAATCGTGAGCTTCAAAGTCCCTAGTCTGCCTCTTTTTAGGTTTGGGCAATGGGAAAGACTGAAGAAATCGGCTAAATTTACTGATTGGACATGGGGCAATATGGATCGCTGAGCCAATGTACACAAACCATTTTGAAAAACGGCAGTGCATTGCGTGTATATAGGCAATCCCATAAGCTACTTAATGACAGGTGACTTAGCCAACCGCTTGAAGTTACAACAGACTCCCCTGAAGCTACTGGTGACCTGGTTTCAAAGTTAACGGCAGCTGTGGCAACCCTGAAGTCATTTGTTCTTGCAACGGACTGAGAAGGGTGCTGCAGCGCTCACCCACCACCCATCCCACCTGGCTGAGTCCCTGCAGCCACGCGTCCACCTAAGGGAGATCAGGGGGCTCTAGCGAATCAGCTGGACCTTGCAAGCCTCCAGCTTCCTTCCCACCCAGCAAGTAAGGGCAGATCAACAAGTTGGAGTAGGCAAGTAAGGGCAGATCAGCAAGTTGGAGTAGGCAAGTAAGGGCAGATCAACAAGTTGGCGTATGCAAACTCCAGCAACCAAATGGAGGCCGGGCAGCAAAGGGATCTCAGGCCTGCCAGAGCTTGCAGGCCTCCAGCTTCCTTCTTACCCAAGGACTTGCAGCACTTAGCCTGCTCCAGAGCCCGGCAACACCCAACCTACTTTTCGGTTGTTGCAACTTCTGAGAGAGGCACCTAGCCCAAGATCAGCATTCTTACAGGCTTAGCCTTGTGGCAAAGCAGGTGTTATTCCCATGAACCTGTAAGGGGCTCCCTTTCTAAGGAGCTTCCATAAAAAAGCACAAACAAATAGGGCCTGCTTAAAAAAATGGAGCCTCATTAAAAAAAAAAAAAGCTCTGCGTATGGCGAGAATAGAATTTGTTGCAAAACAGCAGGATTTTGCCAGGAGGCTGAGTTTATAAGAAACTGATTCTGTATCAGGCCAGGTGCCTATTTCAGAAACTGAAAAAAACAAAATAGTAAATTGGGTTTTGCTGGGGCCTGGCGGAGGCTGAATCCTGCAAGTTCTTAGGTGGGGTCTCCCCTTCTTCGTTGGAGGCTTGCAAATTCTGACTGGTCTGATCTCCCCTTGCTTGCTGGGTGAAAAGAAAGCTGAAGGATTGCTGAGATCCTGGCAAGAAGCAGAGCACATGGTGCCTCGTGGGGTGGGAATAGCGTTGGGAGGCTTGGGGCAGGCAACCCTGGGCCTGTGTAGTCTTCCCACCCCCAAGGTACCCTGTGCACCATTTAACAGCTCTCGCATTCGTTTAACGTTTAAGTACCCTGGTGGTGCAATGGTTAGAATGCAATATTGCAGGCTAATTCTGCCGACTGCCAGGAGTTCAATCTTGACCAGCTCAAGGTTGACTCAGCCTTCCATCCTTCCGAGATCGGTAAAATGAGGACCCAGATTGTTGGGCAAGAGGCTGACACTGTAAATCGCTTAGAGGGGGGCTGTGAAGTGGTATATAAGCCTAATTGCTATTGCTGTTAACATTTGCAATAGGGAGAGCAAGTAGTGGGGTCATTAAGCGAGGCCAATCTGCTTAACAACTGTTGTGACATGCGGCTGTAATGGGCAAGCTCCATTATGATCATATCCCAAAGGCTACCTGTACTGAGTTTCGTAGGGCTAGATGGGAAATAAGGTAGCCTTCACAAGCTGAGACAGTTTTCCTGTTTGGGAAGGTTTGCAAAAGTTTTATTTCAGGGATCAATGGACTATAATATATGTCTTACATTTAAAGTTTACAAGCCAGGTGAATACAGATCTCCAGAATTGTTCTTTCCTCCAGAATTGTTCATTCACCAGTCTCCAGAGTTTATTTTCAGAATGTAATAGATCAGGCATGATCCTTATTGCTCATAAAGTTAGGTGCATCAGCACCGTGAAAGGTGTGTAATCAGGGAGCAGACAAGGACGCTGGAGTACGTGAAGTTCTCTACAAACGACCTTTTTTTTTCTTCCTTTGTCTTAGGCTGGACTATTCTGGGATTGCTCTCCTCATTATGGGCAGTTTCGTCCCTTGGCTTTACTACTCTTTTTACTGCAACCCTCAGCCCTGCTTCATCTATCTGATCGTGATCTGTGTCCTGGGCATTGCAGCCATTATAGTTTCACAGTGGGACATGTTTGCAACCCCTCAATACCGCGGAGTACGAGCAGGTGAGGTTTCTAGAACGGTCTTTGCAACATACTGTGTGATGACCCAGGGCCCCGAACGGAGGCAAAGCAATTAGCTGGTCAGAACAATTGTCTTTGTAAGCACTGCCAATGTTCACCCAACAGCCCCCACATACTGTATGCTGGCACAAGTTCAATAAAACAGTCAACGAAGTCAAACAGTTCTTTAAAGTAAAACAGATAACAAACTTAAGTATGATCTTTTCCACGCCCAGCTTGCCTGTGACCTGCAAACTGCAAAACTGAGGACAGCAAGGAGAACTCAGCAGGAAACAAACTTGATCCAAAATACAAAGAGTCCAGGTACAAGAGCTCACATCACAAGAGTTCACGTTTGTTCCCGGCAAATGCCCCACCCCAGAGCATCTCCTTAAATACCTACTCCCCAGGTGTGCCTTGTGGAGTGGGGCATGACGCTCTCCTCCCGAGCAAGTGAGCCTGCCTCCGTTGTTCCCTCCTCCTCTCTGCTCTCCTTGCTCTGGGATCTGGTGGGGAGGGGCCTTGCCCCTCGCCTGAGCTCTGCCTTCCCTGTTCCAAACTTGAAGGGCCCTGGCCTGCTTCAGCCTGCTCCTCCCCACAGTCCTCCAAAGCCACAGACACCCCCTCCTGGGCCTCAACAGGGAACTCTGTCGTCCTCAGAGTCAGGCTCCGACGTAGGCGTGACATATTTTGTATCAGAGGTAGAATGAAAAATTGAGCTTGCACAAATGATGCTGTCCCCTTTGAAATGACATAATGCCGTTGTTTCTTAGATTTGCATCATGTAACATTCCAGTCACGTCTGTTTCCCTGTGACAATTTTAAAACGTATCTTGTTAACGGACTATGGAATATCACTTCGCATCACTTCATCCCCCTATATGAAGTGTTGTCAATCACTAGTCTTATATTTTGTATGCATGTAGATAAAACTGAATTCCCAGACGTGAAAAGGTTAACTGTGGATAAAGCTGTCAAATTGGTGGCTACTCTTTACAAACATTTAAGCCAGAATACATTTATTTGTGAAAATATCACATTGTGATATTCCTGCATTATGTGTTTTAACTGCAACCATTATTCAGCATTTTGTTTGTGGGACTTATAAGCTAAGACAGGGCTTTTCAACCTTTTCACCCATTGTACCACTTTTAGGATATGGCAACATCCGAGTACCACCAGTCGCCTAGCAAGGTGTCAAAAACTTGATGACCAAAAAAAAAAAAGGAAAAAAGTGATAAAGTACAGGTAGTCCTCGACTTATAACAGTTCACTTAGTGACTGTTCCAAGTTACAGTGGCACTGAAAAAGTGCCCCCCAAGGCACAGCCGAGCAAGACACCTGCCTGCCCACCCGGCGGCGCTCTTCCTCCTGTCCAGGTTTTCATTGTTGTGAGCATTTCTGTTGAGGATTGGCAGCGGGGGTGGGGTGTGGGGGGTGTTTGGTTTTTATTCCCCCCATCTGCTGGGTGGTTGCAGCAGGTTTTGGTCACTTCACATGATCCTGGGACACTGTGACCGTCATAAATATGAATCAGTTGCCAAGCATCTGAATGTAAATCACAAGACCCTGGAGAGGGTGCAACATTCCAGCTGATCGGCGCTTCTTCTGGGCTCCAGCTGGAGCCTGGCGCTGATCCTGGCGCTTCCACTGACCCCTGACAGCCCCAAAGAAGCGCCAATCAGCTGGAAAACGGCACTGATCCTGGCGCTTCCGCTGAGCCCTGACAGCCCTGCAGCTCCAGCCGTCTCTCACTCAGGCTTGTGCGGTGCTGCCACCGGTTCAGCTCATTCCCCTCCCCCGCTACCACTTTTCTAGGATGGTCGCGTACCACCTGCCAGGTGCCAATGTACCACAGGTGGTACCTGTACCACTGGTTGAAAAGCCCTGAGCTAAGAAACCTATAGCCATTGATGTCAAGCCTATCTGATGAATAGGATAAGTCAGGGGTAGGCAACCTTGGCTCTTTTATGACTCGTGGACTTCAACTCCCAGAATTCCTGAGCCAGCGTGGCTGGCTCAGGAATTCTGGGAGTTGAAGTCCACAAGTCATAAAAGAGCCAAGGTTGCCTACCCCTGGGATAGGTGAAAATCACTGGTTAGCCTGCCTCACCAATGAGCTGAATTCTGGCATTGTCTGAATAGTTGGCATTCGCATACAGTAGATGTGAGATATTTAGGTTTAAGACACTTCATTTAAAAAATTCCACATGCTCAGCAAAAATACTAGCTGGTGGTTTTGGGGTGTGATTTCTGGGTATTAAGACTAAAATTAAATTTATAAAATTTTGAAAAGAGAAAGTGAGTTATCTCATTAAAGTTATGATTGGTTACATTAATTTTAAGAGGTGTTCACAATAACTTTATTTGAATAAATAGGATTTTGGACTTGGTATTTCTTTGATTTTAGATTTCTGTGCAGTATTGGGTTAGGGCAGGGGTAGGCAACCTTGGCTCTTTTATGACTCGTGGACTTCAACTCCCAGGATTCCTGAGCCAGCCATGCTGAGGAGAAAGGGAGAGGTTTCCAAGCTGAGCCATGCTGGCTCAGGAATTCTGGGAGTTGAAGTCCACGAGTCATAAAAGAGCCAAGGTTGCCTACCCCTGGGTTAGGATTTAATACTATTTACCAAGGGGGGGAAATGACAATAGGTTATTTAATTTTATGAATTATAAAGATGGTGTATTTTGTTAGCCGAGGTTTCTGTTACAGTAGAATGCCCCTGGTTCAATAGCAAATCAGGATTCATTGGTAGTTAATAATAGGTTAATATAAGTGAATATTTTCACCACAACGGCAGAGGACATGGAAGCTCAGAGTTTTGTGCAGCTTCTTTCTATTTGAGTAAGTAATGATCAATCACGGTTGACATTCCTCTGTTAGTGATTGCAGACAGAAAAGTATTCTTCCAATTGAAATTACAATTGGATTGATCAGGAGAACCGCTTTATAGATAGCCCTCAACTTATGACTTAGTGACTGTTTGAAATTATGAGGGACACCCCCCCCCCAAAAAAAAATATGGTATTTGCAACAAGGATTCAAAGTTCTGACAGCCAAGCCCCTCTGTGATCACACGATTGCCCTGACGGATGTTTGTTCTGTTCTGTGGTCAACATGACTGCAATTTACATCCTTTTTTTTTTTCTTTGGCTGGGAACCGGCTTTTCCTTACAGTTTCTTTCAAAAAAAATGCCCATTGTGGACAGTGGGTTCACTTAACAACTGTGGCATTCATTTAACAAGTGGGATTCGCTTAATGACCACAAAAACGTTGTAAATTTGGATCAGTCACATGAGGACTCTTTTTAACAACCAGCACAACTTAATGGTTATAATTCTGAGCTCAGTTACAGTCGTACGTCAAGGACCAGCTGTAATTGATTGGAACAGTTAGTCTTACCCCTTGATAAAAGACCCGCAGCCTTTAGACCAGGGGTCTTCAAACTTGGTCCTTTTATGACTTCTGGACTTCAACTCCCAGAATTCCTCAGCCAGCAAAGCTGGCTGAGGAATTCTGGGAATTGAAGTCCACAAGTCATAAAAGGGCCAAGTTTGAAGACCCCTGCTTTAGACATTAAAGAGCTTTAATATTTTTCTCTGGGATCCTGAGTTTTAACCATTCGATCTCCTTTTGCCCTGGTTCATTTATACGCAAGGTTGAATCTGTTGTACTTGCTCTGTCTCCTAGGAGTGTTTCTGGCCCTGGGCCTTAGTGGTGTGATTCCCACTCTGCACTTTGTCATCTCGGAAGGGCTCCTCAGGGCTGCCACCATGGGGCAGATAGGATGGCTGGCCCTCATGGCCTGTTTGTACATCACTGGCGCTGGCTTGTATGCTGCTCGTATCCCAGAGAGATTTTTCCCGGGCAAATGTGACATCTGGGTAAGTACAGCTGTGAACCATCAGGCACATGGTACATTTGAAGCTATAACGCACTTGTAGTAGTGCCTCTGTTTAGTTCTGTTGTGAAACAGAGGCTGATTAGACAGTTGAAAGCCACAGCACCTAGCACAGTGATGGCGAACCTTTTAGAGACTAAGTGCCCCAAAACTGGCCCTGTCCCCACTCCATCCCCGCCCCGCCCCTGCTCCACCCCCACCCCGCCTGCCCGCAGGGCCACTCACCACCTCCAGGGCCCGCCGCAGATCGCCCAGGTAGCCCAGCAGCGCCATGGGGGCCACGCCCTCTGCCCGCGCCCCGCAGCATCAACTGTGTGATGGGACGTGAGGGCAGAGTTGTCTGTGCTGCCTGGCTGCCATGTCCTTGGCTGCGCTGCTCCGCGTGGGCCACGCTCGGGGGCAACTCTCCTCCAGGGGGGCTGCTGGTGAGGAGGGGCTCGTGGGAGAAGCGAGGCTGGGGCAATGGCATGTGTGCCCACCGAGAGGGCTCCGAGTGCCGCCTCTGGCACCCGTGACATAGGTTCGCCACAACTGACCTAGCACATTCATTGGCTTTCCAGAAATGGGGGAAAATACTTAAACTATCACAGTGTTCACTGTCAGAGACAGAGAATGACATGTGGCCATAGAAATGCAGCTTTTTGAAATAGCAAATTTGTCCTTCTCATCTTAAGCCTTGAACAGGTGCAAATTGCCACTTGATGCTTACTGGGCCTGAGGACATGGAACAAGAGAGCTTCCTAGCAAATAAATTGTCCCTTTGTCCCTTATCAGGCTAGTCCTGTTTCTAGGACAGTGGTGGCGAACCTATGGCACGCGTGCCAGAGGCGGCACTCAGAGCCCTCTCTGTGGGCACACGCGCCGCCGCTGCCAGCAACTTGCACAGGTCCATTAGGCCGCCACCGCCGCCTGGAGCAGCAGCCCCACCCAGCACAAAGGAGGCAAAGCAGCCAGCTAGCAAGCTCAAGTAGAGGTGGTAGAGCACGCCCACACCCAGCAAGCCAAAGGCCACCCTGAGCAGGGAAAGCCAGATCCCCATCGGTGCCATGGCCCCCCAGTCCCAGCTAGGATTGCGTGCCTCCCCCCCATCTATGCTGGGCCTCCTGCCCACCGCCCCATCCGCCAGAGACCCCCTGGATCTCCTTCAACCTTGCCCGGCCCCCACAGGCATCCCCCCCATGAGCAACATCAAGGCCATGCCCACCCCAGACACGCCCCCCCCAGTCTGCCATGACAACAGCAGCCATGCCCACCCAGTGAGCTACACCCCCATGCCACCCAAGGCCACAATGCTGATGTGGCCCTGGCACTTTGCGATAAATAAGTGGGTTTTGGGTTGTGGCTTGGGCACTCGGTCTCTAAAAAGTTCGCCATCACTGTTCTAGGAGCTTGTAAGACTGCTGTTATTATTTGGTGCTTGTTCTGAAAAAAATGCTTCATTTTCTAATCTTACTCTTGTCTTTCTCTCTCTGTGTGTATGTGTTTTTTTCTCCCTCTCCTGCAGTTCCACTCCCATCAGCTCTTTCATATTTTCGTAGTGGCCGGTGCTTTTGTGCACTTCCATGGCGTTTCAAATCTTCAAGAGTTCCGTTTCACCGTTGGGGGAGGCTGCTCAGAGAACGAGATGGAGTAAAACCCGTCCCCCCCGTTGAGGATCATAACCAAAACTGAACCATGGGAGCAGTCGATCCACACTTCGCCTACAATGGTGTGGAAGTTTTGCAGGGAATCTTAAGTATAAGATGGGAGAAAAATTCATACCTCAAGCAATGGAGTGAATTGGTTCTGAAGACGTGGACATTCTTAAATCTTAACTTATTCCTGGGATCTGCAACTGAAGCAAGAAAAAAAAACATCCTTTCTTAATCAGCTTATGTTCAATGCCATATTTATTTGTAGAAAATAAGAGAGGTTATCTTGGGGAAGAGCTTGGCAATTTTTTTTCTTTTCTTTTTTTAAATCTAGCTTAATTAAGATTTGTATCTTGTTCAGGTAAGTTGATTTTTAGATGCCCTTTTGGGAGAAAAAAAAATGTAAATAAGATTTCTAACTTTCTGTTTGATTAAAAAACTTTCTATAAATGTTTTAAAAGGGGGGGGAGGGAGATGGATTTTGTATTGGTTGCAACATGCAAGTACCACACACTGTTTCTATTTTGCACAAATTCTTAAAAAGTGCAAGAAAGCTGGGTGAAACTCCTGAAATCAGGCATCCGGGTCCTATAGATTCTTCCTAATCCTGGTGTATACTGATTGGCTCGATCCAGTGGACCCAATCCGCCGCCCACAAAGCCCGAAAGCAAAGAAGCGCTTACCGATCGGCCTGTTCAGAAAGCAAAGGGGAAAAGGGGCCAAGGCCGTTGACTTCTAAGCTCTCTTCTGGGGTGGTCTGTTAAGATTCCTTCATTGGCCTTTTGCTGCATTGGGGTTTGATGGCTTAAGGCACAATGTGGCATATATCCTGACCTTTTGGGGTCTCTCATCAGTGTTTCACCATTCTTTTTGGGTGTGCTGTCTTGTTTATCCAAGTGCAATTGTTAATGTTGGGTACCAACCATCTAGGTGACCTGCCCAGGGTGGAAATGGTCTCAAGGGGGATGGGAAGTACAGACAAGAAAGCAATTTTGTTTTTGTTTTTGCTTTTCTAAGAAGAGGACTGGCTGTCTATGTGTTAATCCGTTCTGGGGTTGTGTGTGTGTGTGTGTGTGTGTTGCTGAGGGACAGTAACACTACAGTTGTCTGTATTAATAAATTCACTGAACTCTGCAGGCTGCAATAGTAACACTGCCATTCTTTTTCCTCTTTCTCCTGGGGTTTAGGACAATACTGTGCACTATTTTTAATAAGTTAAAAAAGCAAACAAACCACAGGATAGACTTTCCTCTGCTTGTTAAAGTAGTGCTTTGTGCCGAGAGAAAGTTGTGAGCGCGCTTTCAAATGTTTCCAAATGAATTGTATGAGGCCAGGAGTATTCGAAGAGAAGAGAGTTATGACACAACAAAACAGCCAACAGGGCAAGTGAGAAGAAATAGGCTTATTGCAATACTGAGCAATATTGAATCTAGAAAGAAACATCTGAGCAAAATGCAGAATTAATAGATTAGCCATTTGTCTCACTTGTAAGGACAGATAATTTAGCCTGTAGTGAGTTATCGAGGATCGATTGTGGGGCAACATAATTGGTTACGTTTTTAAAATGTTAACATTTTTATAAAGAAATCCTTGGTCTTCCCCTTAGCTCTCTCCTTCTGAAATGAATTCCTCTTAAGTATTTAAACCTGCAGGAGGTGCTTAACTGGTTCTTGTAGGCAAATTCAGATACAAATGTGTTCTGGATAGGATCGTGATACTAAATACATACAGGTAAAAACCGCAGCCTAATATATTTCAGTGCGTTGATCCCAGACTGAAAACAGAACAGTATTAACTGAATCCCTTCAACCAAACTGGGAGACCCACCTAGGAGAAACTTCGGAGTGTTGTGTCTATGGAGTCAGCTGATAAAAGGACAGTTTACCTAAGGTGGGGAAGTGGTAATGCATATATCACACCCAGACTTACCTGTTTTGAGAAGCACTTTTAGAGGTGTATCTCTGTATATACCAGCAGAGACTATATCTCTCCCTACTCTGGATTTACCCCATGCTCACTCTGAATGTGGCCCTTGCAATCCAGTCTAACAGCACAGGACCTGTACAGAATTACAATGCACCATTTTGCTGTCTTTACTTCTGATCTTCCCGTTGAAGATATTTTGTGTCCCGATAATGAAAACTGCATAGCTGTGCACTTTTTCTGTGGTGCTTGCTGAGACTTCCTCCCAGGTTGGCACCTGAATGCCTTACTCTCAGCAACTGGAGGTTTGCTTTCTTTCTTTTGATGTGTGTGTGCAGGGTTCAGCATAGCGGTAGTTGAGATATACAGCTCCTCCCCCCCCCCCCATTAACTAGTGGCCTTGTTCAGTATTTTCTTTTCATTTCTAATTGCTCACTGTTGAAGGCAACAAAGCACATCTTGGATTTTGAAGATTGGGGGAGGGGGGTCTCCAGCCAATGGGATCCCATTACTTGTTGTATTCTTAACTTCTAATAAAAAGAACAAATGTAAAACAGGTTTGGATTTTTGCTTTTATTGTTGTTGTTATTGTTGTCTTTTCATGCCAGTATAAATGTCATGTGTCTGATTAACGAAACACTTCAAAGAACTTTCAGGCATTTTTTTAACCTAAAAAGCTTTTATTAGTATTACAGAGTGTCAGCACGGCATGGTGGAATGCTAAGATCTGAATTTCCCTTCCTTTGCACATAACATTCCAGGCATTTCCCCTCCCCTTTCCCTGTCACCTGATTTAACTCTAAAAATACCAGACAGTTCTGCATATATTGTCAAAGCAAGAATATTCAATATTAGCAGCGTTGACAATAAATTTATAAGAGGTAACTGCATTTGTAATTTAATACTCACATACACCCCCAGGCAGGTAGTCCTTGACGTACGACCTCAGTTGGGACCTGAATTTTTATTGTAAGTTGTTGGTGATCATAAGTTGTTGCAATTTTGTGACAATTTTTATAGTGGTTATTAAGCTACCCTAATGAGCATTTTTTGCTGGAAACCGGCAAAAAAGGTTGCAAATTGTGAACGCATGACTGCGGGATGTTGCAACTGGTGAACGTGAGCTGGTTGCCCAATGCCCAAATTGCGATCATGTGACTGCGAGGGTGGTGTGACAGTTATAAGTGCGAGTAGGGATCGTATGCCATTTTTTCCAAGGCCATCCTAACTGAACCATCAAACAAATTTGTCATAAATCAAGGACTACCGGAATGTATCAGGTAATTTAATCAGATCTGTTGAGTGGTTGGTTTAATATCGAGGGTGAATACTGAAAATTCTAGGATAGGTTTTCCAGCACCTAGGATTTTTTATATATGACACCGTTAGCAACCTGAGCTGAAGAAATCTGAATGCTCAACCACATCACAGCAGCTCATCACAGAAACCATATTACCTTGAAATTAAACAAGTATTGTCTACCTTTTAATTTTTTCAAGAAAGCCATGTGTTTTAGTTAGACTGTGTTTTGTATCTTTCTTCCCTTCTGTTTAGAACACCAGGTTAACATAATTGTTGTCTTCCTATTATGACCACTTAGGTGTTGAAGAGACCTGTGCATCACTTGCTTTTCTCAAGATTTTAAAACTAGTTTGTAGAAGTATTTTTATCTACTCTGAAGTTTGTCAGGCTGCCTCTTGGGCAATAAACAAACAAATAAAAATAAATGAATGACGTTACAGTAACATTTAAAAAATATGAATAGTCTGTGCACAGGAGAGTTGGATTCATAAGCTTGATTCTATAGTTTTTTCAGAGATTAAAAAAGAAACGGTGCCAAAACTATATTTGGCTTGGAATTGGAAGAACAGATGCATTAGGACAGATCGCCTTAAAGGAGGACAGCATTCTGTGGAAGAATGACAAATTAGCATGATGTGTGTATATGCCAAGGTCAATTGATGTGTTATGGAGAGCGTTATCTTTCTGTTTAGTCTAAAACAGAAGGAACTGTACCTTCATGAAAACAACATTTCTAAAATCTATTTGTCTATGGCAATAGAGGAGAAATTGCTTATATCTAGGTTCTCTGAAAAAAGACTTAAGTTGGTGATTTGAAGTCCACAGTCATGGCATAACTAGGACCATCTATCTCCCTTTATGCTTCTCCTGTCTGGACCTGGCTCTTGTGGGTTTCTTGTCAAATACTGTTACCTACTGATTGATCATTCCTTACCTTAATTCTAGAACTGGTGTCCACCAATATTAAAATGTTCTTAACAGTTGAAGGGTAAAATTTAGGCCACATGAAGAAAAAAAATGACAAAACATGCCAGTCAGACTTAATAGTTTAATTGTTAGTGCTGCTTTAATATATTTTTAGATGCAATCTTGGTGTTATCCTCTAATTTTCGCTGCCTGCTGTTAAGTATTGAAAATGTTTTATTACATCTTTACACATTAGTAAATAGTCCAATTTATGGTTGCTTCAGCATCAACGTAAAAATAATCCTTTGTGCTTGTCAACATGACTATGCAGTGTATAGCGCAATTACTATATGGGGAAAAGGATGTGGTGTGGAAGCAAAACAAAACAACCTGTCACAAATTTCTTTTGGGGAATGTATTAGTCAATAAAATTGAATTCTAAGACTGAGGAGGAGGTTGAATTTGATAGTGTAAATAGCCTCTTTCAACTTTATGAACTCCTAGCCATCCTGACGGTGCTTTGTAAGATGATCATTTCTGATCACTCATATTTTGAGTCTCATACAATAAAAATATCAAGTTTTTTGTTGTATAACAACCTGGTACTTAAATTCCTAAGGGTGAAATCTATAAACTCTCAAGCGAGCATGAAGACATTGCTCATAGTTTCTTTCACAAAGCAAAAGAGCTTCCAAAAGTAGAGATAATTTCTACATCTCAGGGATGCATCCTCTTAGATGTGCATCATGCCCTTAATAACTTAAAAGAATTTATTATGCAGTCTTACCAATGAGGAAGTGTTTGTCTGAAAGGGAAAATAAATCTTTGGCATAAAGTGGCTGGCTGGAAGCAACCATATCTATTGTCTCATTAAACCTAGGCAGCAGCCTAATGTCCACGGGTTTTTTTTTCCAAAATCATTTTTGAAAACATTGTCATTGCCAAATCGAGTGTCTTAATTTGTAAGTTCAGTCTGATACTTATTTCTGTAATTTACACGGAATCATAATTCTATAAAATGTTCCAAGTGTTTAGAAACAAAATGTAAGAGCCATAACTCTGGCTGAAAATTGCAATAGTTAAAAAAAATCCAGAACACATCCCTGACCTGTCCTCATGCCAAAGTTCAATTTTGGAGAAAAAAATCTATTCTGATATTTCTCACCAGTTTTGTCCAAACATTTAAAATTATTTAGCCAAGCAAAAGGTAGTCCTCAACTTACGACTGGTCACTTAACAACAGAAATTCCGATGGATCTACTTGGGGAGCACTTGCAACCCAGATTCAAAATTCCAATGGTTGCTCCCCCATGTGGTCGCACATGACCGCAGCTGGCCTGCATTTATGGCAGTTCGCAGAGTCACGTGGTCAAGTGGATTATGGATTACAATGGTTTTGCTGAAAATGGGCATCCCAGTTTTCTGAAAAACCAGCCCATAGTGAACCTTTGATTCACTTAACAACTGCAGTGTTAAGACTGTTGCGGAAAAGGTCATAACATCAGATTGGTTACTTGACCAACCTGCTTTATGTCTGTCACGAGTTACGACTGATGGGCGAGCTCCATCATGATCATAACTTGAGGACTACCTGTATTAGAGGCTTAAATCCAGTAGATAGCACCTTTCTCCAGGTGGAGAAAGCTAATTCATTACAGTCTATACGTTATATGCTAAGACAAAAATCTAATAAACATCATTCACCCAACACTACCCTTAGATCAGGGGTAGGCAACCTTGTCTCTTTTATGACTCGTGGACTTCAACTCCCAGAATTCCTGAGCCAGCTATGCTCAGGAATTCTGGGAGTTGAAGTCCATGAGTCATAAAAGAGACAAGGTTGCCTACCCCTGCCTTAGATGGACATCTCTGTACTGTAGAGATGGAAAGAGTCAGTTGTTAGCTTTGTCTCATAGTTATTATCTCTCTTCTGTATCACTTGTAAATACAATGTAGAGTTAGGAAGTCCTTCAAAAATGATGAGGTCAAGTTCTGTTTGAGGTCCATGTGAAAATAGCAGCCCAGGGTCAAGGTAAGGACTGCAGTGCACTTTGTCACCGCAGAAGAAGAGCTGTTGTTGACAGCAGAAACAGGAGCAAGGTTGATGAGGGTGAAATTGCTGCAGCTCCTCCACAATCTTGGGCATTTTCCTGAAAAAGAGAAGGCCAGCGGGTGCTCAGCAACCCTAGTATGGTAGTAGAGTAGGATTGGCTCCATGGGAAATGAAGCAGACCTTATGGTTACAAGGGTATTGTTATACATCTAATTCTATAATTTCTGCAAATTATTCTGTGACTGAAAGCTATGGATAACAGATCTTACCTCTGGATGGAATGCGTGGCAGGTGTCTGGTCGGCGTCTTAGTTTCTGAGAGCGCATCCTGTCGCATTTCACTGAACTGTTATGTACACAGCTGTTAAGGCTAATAGCAGTGTTTGGAAATGGAGAAATAAGGACATCTTACTTAAAATATCTAGAGTCAGGCGGATGCTGTGCTGGCCAATGATTTAAATTTGCAACTAAAAATACTGACAGGCCTACAGCAATGTATTTCCATTGCATACATAGCATTTCCTGATGCTCAAGCTAAGCAGGATGCTTCAGCCCACATGGATAATATTTCAGCAATGGGATAAGCCTACACACAAAGTCTTGACACAGGCAGGAGATTTCCTAAATGTTTCTACCACCCATGTTGGGAGTTTCAGTTGAGATGAGCTGGAATTTGTGGGCATGTTTTAACACAAAATATCCTCAAATCATGTTGAAACTGACAGGACTTCACCATAACGAATCTGGCCCACTTTATTTGTTATGGCTTTTAGTTGGATTGTAGCTACCTTGGGGAGCTGCACACCTTGGGAGCTTTCCTAGATGGGCAGCAGGCTGAATCTATTGAAAGCAAGGGCTTTCGTCTAATCTTGGAACACAGTCTGTAAGTGGTTTTCCGCTCTCTGCTGAACTAAAGCTTATCAGCAAAAGTCCAAATGTAATGTTTCATTAGATATATTTCCGATTTCTGCATGAGTTTTATCTTTTCTCACCAACACGCTGCTTCAGGGTGAACATTTCCAAGTTATCCTAAGCAGGTGAGAGCTGAACTTGGAAGTTAAGCTTTGAAGGCTAAGCAAGGTTGAGATGGGAGACTACTGGAGAATCCTAGAATAAGCAATGACCAATTCTATATGACTGTCAAGAAAACTTAATGCATGTGTGTATGAAGTAGTTGGCAGGAGCTGAATCTAACTCAAAAGAAACTTTCGTTTTTTTATCATTGGCCTATTGGTTCTGCTAACTTTCCTGCAGCTTCTAGGTAAAATCGGTAATATGTTTATTTTAGCAGTTGCACCAGGGCTCTATAGTACTGTTGCAATTCATTATAGATTTCTGGACCAAAGGTTGAGAACATTGGCTTAACATACTGTGCCTATCCAACCAAGTAGTCAGTCTATAGCAGGGCTTTTCAACCTTTCCACCCATTGTACCACTTTTAGGATGTGGCAACCAGTCGCCTAGCAAGGTGTCAAAAACTTGATGACCAAAAAAAAAAAGGAAAAAAGTGATAAAGTACAGGTAGTCCTCGACTTACAACAGTTCACTTAGTGACTCTTAGAAGTTACAATGGCACTGAAAAAAGTGCCCCCCAAGGCACAGCCGAGCAAGACACCTGCCTGCCCACCCGGCTGCACTCTTCCTCCTGTCCGAGGTTTCCATTGTTGTGAGCATTTCTGTTGAGGATTGGCAGCGGGGGTGGGGTGGGGGGTGTTTGGTTTTTATTCCCCCCGTCTGCTGGGTGGTTGCAGCAGGTTTTGGTCACTTCACATGACCCTGGGACACTGTGACCATCATAAATATGAATCAATTGCCAAGCATCTGAATGTAAATCACAAGACCCTGGAGATGCTGCAACATTCCAGCTGATTGGTGCTTCTTCTGGGCTCAGCAGAAGCACCAGGATCAGCGCCGAGCTCCAGCTGGAGCCTGGCGCTGATCCTGGCGCTTCCACTGAGCCTTGACAGCCCCAAAGAAGCGCCGATCAGCTTGAAAGCGGCACTGATCCTGGCGCTTCCGCTGAGCCCTGACAGTCCCGAAGAAGCGCTGATCCTGGCGCTTCCGCTGAGCCTGACAGTCCTGCAGCTCCAGCCATCTCTCGCTCAGGCTTGTGCTGTGCTGCCACTGGTTCAGCTCATTCCCTTCCCCCACTACACTTTTCTAGGATGGTCGTGTACCACCTGCCAGGTGGCAATGTACTACAGGTGGTACCCGTACCACTGGTTGAAAAGCCCTGGTCTATAGTATATCATGTGGATCCAGAAATGTGGGTTAATTGAATACTCTAAATAATGATTTAGAGTAAACCGTCAAATCTGTAGCAATAGTAACCAATAGCACTGGAGATGAAATCAAAAGTATCTTGCTTTTATTGTTGTAGTTTCTAATAGTCCTTCTGTCCTTCTATATCTCCACTGAAACTTAGAGGCACAGACTCTTAGAATTACATTTTAAAAGAGAATTTGGAAAACAGCAAGACTTATGTTTTCTACTTATCTTCATAAAAAAGATTTATAGAATGTAGAAAAGCGCACACATTTTACTTTGCCTAAAGGGTATAAAACAATAATAAATAATTGTAAATAGTCAACTAGCAATATAGTACTGTTTTGACTTCACTTTTTAACAGTATTGTTTTCACTCCACATTTAAATAGAAGCATGCTCTATTAATCCCTTCTATAGTTATGAAGGAAAATGCTAGATTCGTACTTCATTTGTGCTAATAAACTGCCAAAGACTTACAATCCAGTACAACCATTGCCAGGGAAAAGATATATTTGACTTCTTTAGCTTGCCGTGCAAAAGATGGGAAGATGCTGCAATCACAGGTGGTGTCAGTTACCAGGAGCAGAAGGTTGCTCTTCATAATTTGCTGCACCAAAAACATCCTGCAAGATTGAGAAGGACATCCATCCCCAGAGACGATGTTATTTTTCCCCCCAAATATTATTTCTATTAAGAATTTTAATTGCAATAGTAAAAACTAATACAAAGTGAACTTTGAGAAAGAGAAGACAATGGAAAGAATAGAAAGTGTAAGAAAAGAGAAAAAAGAGTATATAATTAAAAAGAAAACATATCCGGAAGCGACTTCCAACCTTCATCATAACAATATAAACCAATTTAATAACTCTCCACCCTCTATAAAGTTCAACAAACATGTCTTCAACAATTCAGTTCTGGGAGTTGCAGTCCGCAAGTCTTAAAAGTTGCAAAGGTTGGACACCCCTAGACTAGATCCTTCCAAAGCAATGAAGAGAATCCTAGTTTGGAATAGATCCAATTATCTTAGTACTAATTTAAAAGAGGCAATGTTATAATTTACAAGTGGTGATTGGCATTGCATTCCAAGCCCAGCCCCTTTTGTACAGGCATAGACGTCTCTCCAAAATATATAATGATCTTGTTGCTATTCCCCAAAATTCTTGTAGATTTTGACAGTCCTTATTAGATAAATTGGCCCCACTTTTGGTTTCCCATAACATGTTGTCCTCCCATTGATTGGGGTTGTGGATCATGGGAACAGGGCCAAAACTACTGCTGCAACATCACCTTAAACCATTATGAAGTCAGAGATGTTGTAGCTTCATTTTGTTTTTAAGATAAGGTAACTGACTGGCTGCCTAACCTAGTCAGTTATGAAATTGACTTCACCAGTTTCCTCTCATCTATAAAAAACACCTTGGACCCCCAGTGTGTCTCAAAGTAAGGAAAGTGAAATATTGGATGAAATATTGGATCCCGGAGCTCTGTTTTCTAGTCTTTGAGGAGGAATGTATAATAAATAGTTCTGAGTGAAGTTGGAGGTTGAGCAGTTGTAAAGGGATAACTAAATGCCTTATTACATTGACTTGTCTTTATTTGATTTCTATAAAATTCTTTCTCATGTAACAGTAATGCGGCACAGGAGTTTGGTTGACATATAAAGTTAAGAGGTAATTGTAAGTCACCTCAAGGCAGCCACAGTGCTCTGCTGCCCTCTACCTGCAATTTATAGGTACAATTGAATCATGTGCCAAAATCTAGAGAAAGGGAGACTTCTATCTTTAATATTAATTGCCCCCAAAGATTCCCTCTTTGTATCAGCATATTGGTGGAAGTTTCATTTAAGTTTTCATATACACGGGTTTTTCTGAAGACCATCCTGCAAACAGTATTGAGTTGGTAACTTGATGTGAATTGCCTGCATTTTCTAAAACCAGTATCTATATACTAGTTTTCTAGCAGCAGTGACAATACATCAACTCAGGGCTACCGTGTTTCAGACAGTTCGTTTCATACATCAGTGCCATCATAGGTTATGGAGCTGCAAGGATCATGTAGGATCTTTGACAGAATGCCAGTCTGAACATAGGATGCAGTTACAGGAGGCCTCATGGATGGTTCTCAAGCCGCTTATTAAACACTCTGGTCAAAAAGACCCCAACAACAACAGTATCAAGGTAGCCACTACAACTACAGGCAGTTTTTGAGATACAACCAGTTGCTTAGCGACTGTTAAAAATTCCGATGGACTCTCCCAAAGGGAGTCCTGGTTCCAAAGTTCTGACGGCTGCCTCCGCCCTGTGTCATGTGATCACATCTGGGCACTTGGCAAGGGGCCTGCATTTAGGGCTGTTTGCAGCATCCTGTGGTCATGTAACTGGGTTTTATGATGTTTTTTGCCAAAACCCGGCAAATGCTTCCAGTTTTTAGCAAAACTGGCTCATAGCAAACAATGGGTTTGCTTAACGATTGTGGTGTTTGCTTAAAAACGGTGGTGGTTATGTAACAACTGCTTCAGAAAGGGTTGTAAAATTGGGTTGGTCACATGGGTGACCCGCTTTACAGTCAGGTCAATTACAGTCATAAGTCGAGGACTACCAGTATTAGGCAGATCCTTCCACTAGGCATTTGTGTTTGTGTGTCTATATGTGAGCCTGTTCGTTAGCCTTTTTGGCAGCTGCACCATACTGGGTTCAGGCTTTTGTTTTTGCTAAAGTAGATATTCAGAAATTATCAGGAATCTTCTCTATCACTTTCATTCATCATACCTCATGTTTTTGTCCCTGATGGAACAGAAATCATTAGTTCACAGCATATTGATGGAGGATGAAAGTTGGGTTATGATGTTGCAACTCAAACTTCATAACATGCGCATTGACATCTGTTGGTGAGTCACAAGAACAAAAGCCAGGTGCATATTGTGATGTCATAATGCACATTTTGTTCTTGGTATTCATCATTGGGATTTGTATCTGACGTCTATAACTGTAAACAGAATATAGCTAATCCTCTTCCTGCAATTTTCAGTAATTTTTCTGTTTAATGTTTTTGATGGGCTCCTATAACCACTGCATAGTGGGAAGCCACAAGTTGCAATCATATGAAGTCCTTGCTTAACAACCAGTGCAGTCCTAATCACAGCAAGTGGGACTGCCATTGTTCAGCAGTGCAGTCCTGTAGTTTTTGTTTTTTTTTAACTTAGGAATGAATTGCTTAATGATAGATTTTTCTGGTCTCAATTAGTGTTGTTAAGCAAAGACTATCTGTAATAACACTATCAATGAGAAAAAAATTATCATGTTTTTCTAAGTGTCATTTTAAAGTTAAAAATATTTATGTTTATCCAGTCTTGTTTACTTTTGTGTCCCCCATCCTATAGTGGTGTTGAATGCTACGCACTCCACTGTGAGAATAAACAGGCTCACAAAATACAATAATTGCCAGATGGATTAGACTTGTTCTTATGAGAATGGAAAAGATTGTGTTTGTTATACAAGAACAGAGTTACTGAGATTTTTATCTGCAACAAGCCCCAGAGAATTAAAAGACCTGAACAATGTTTCATCTGATTCTAAAAAGAAAGAGTTCCAGTGTGTCAGCCCTACAAAGTAGACCAGACTATGAAACCATATGTAACCAATTCCATGAATGTCAGGACTACTTTTATTGGGACAGATATAATAACAATTGAAGATAGCTTGCAAGCTGAATATGCTTCCTCCCTTTATGTGAAATAGGAAAGGGCTTCTTCTCTGAGACATTTTCTCAAGTTACTTTCTTGGCCCAGGTTCAAGCCTCTTTTATTGGACGTCTGTCTGTCTGTCTGTCTGTCTGTCTGTCTGTCTGTCTGTCTGTCTGTCTGTCTGTCTATCTATCTATCTATCTATCTATCTATCTATCTATCTATCTATCTATCTATCTATCTATCTATCTATCTGTCTATGCCAACACAGTGCTAGGCTGCATTAACCGAGGGATCGAATCAAGATCACGTGAAGTATTAATATCACTTTACAATGCTTTGGTAAGGCCACACTTGGAATACTGCAAGAGTACAGAGAAGAGCAACAAAGATGATTAGGGGACTGGAGGCTAAAGCATATAAGGAACAGCTGCTGGAATTGGGTATGTCTAGTTTAATGAAGAGAAGGACGAGGGGAGACATGATAGCAGTGTTCCAATATCTCAGGGGCTGCCACAAAGAAGAGGGAGTCAAGCTATTCTCCAAAGCACCTGAAGGCAGGACAAGAAGCAACGGATGGAAATTTAATCAAGGAGAGAAGCAACCTAGAACTAAGGAGAAACTTCCTGACAGTTAGAACAATTAACCAGTGGAACAACCTGCCCCCAGAAGCGGTGAATGCTCCAACACTGGAAGTTTTTAAGAAGAGACTGGACAGCCACCTGTCTGAAATGGTATAGGGTTTCCTGCCTGAGCAGGGGGTTGGACTAGATGACCTCCAAGGTCCCTTCCAACATTATTATTATTATTATTATTATTATTATTATTATTATTATTATTATTATTATTATTATTATTATTATTATTATTATTATTATTATTATTATCTAGCTATCTAGTTATCTAGTTATCTAGTTATCTAGCTATCTAGCTATCATTTATCATCTATCTATCATCATCATCTATCATCATCTATCATCCATCTAATCTCCTCTCCCTCCCATTCTTCCCTATTCACCTATTTTGTATAGCTACCTATCTTACCCTGGACAGCAAAAAACAATTAAAATATAAAAACAGTTAAATTAATATATGCAAATATGTGATAGCCAAGAATAAGTACCCATCATAATGATTAAATTAACCACAAAATGGGTCCCTGCACAAACTTGGGGCTCTAGTTGAAGGCACAAATCTATGTCTTTAAGGACTTATGAAAAGTCAGCAGGGCTGGGGTCATCCTGATCTCTGGAGGGAGAATGTTCCATAAGGCCTTGATGGCGGCTTTTCCTCCTGTCCTTCAAGGTCATTCTCTCTTCCTTCTACCCGGTGTTAGGAACCAGCAAGAAGACCTGTCTCCAGGTATTACCCATCTAATGAGGGTAGCACAGGGTGATGACTTCTGTAGCTGAACTTAAGTGCCAGGTGCATGTAGAAGGTAATAGTTTGGATCTTAACCAGGATTTATTATTTTGCTTTTTTTAGTGCTTGCAGTAACAAGCAATGTATATGGATGGGAGGAAAAGGGGCAAAATTCTTAGTTTGCCCTTGAGAGGCACAGATAAAGACCATTCTCTTACTTCTGACAGGCTCCACAGTCAATTAGTCCATTGGCCTCTGTGATAGCAGGCTCGTACACAAAGACTGGATATTCAGTGTCACAGGGTTGCAGCGCATCGTGTTTCTTATGTCTGTGAGCTAGAATGGGAAAAATAAACGAGTCAGAGGGAGAAAATCAGGCACAAGGAGAAGTGAAAAACGTGGAGAAACAAAATGCATGGACATCAATGGCCACTAGATGCTGCTGATGAGCCAATGATTGAGGATGTCTTGAATGTATGATGCTAATCTCCCTTCACTCCGCTATTAAATCCTGAGCTAAAATCTTCAGAAAAGGAGACTTTTCTAGACAAGTGAACAATTTTGAGAGTGACTGTCCAACTCTGCTAAAAGGGAGGAGGAAAGGAGCAGGAAAAGACTTTTATAATTCTCCCCAAATGTCTGTTCTTAAAGGGACAATAGCATCTCTAACACCCCCCCCCCCCCCCCCCCAGTCAGGTAGATTTAAATAAATTGGTGCAATAACTCATGCAAGGCTCAGTGCATCTGGCCATTCTTTGGCATACACCTTACTGAAATAAATGAAATGAACATGGTTTGGACAAATCTATCTTCTAATACAATGGAGATTGCAAGAGAGAAATGCCAAGTGACTCATTAAGCTTGTTTTCAGCTGTAGATTCCAGGGGACCAGCATAACAATGGGAACTTTTATCTTAATTCAAACAGCCAAAATACAAGGAAAGGCAATAAAGCTATAATGCCAAGTCATTGCTCATATTCTTACTAAAAGTAATTTCAGTAATAAACTTAACAAAGCGACCCCCCCCTGCTCAAAATTTCTATTTCTAGGATGAGAAAAAGAGATAACATTTAATTTAACTTGCTCATTTGTAATGAAAACTCCCCATGTATGTACTGGGAGGAGAAGCAATTTTTGTTCTTGCTTTGAAAAGGAATTCCTTTTGACTCAAATGCAGTGTTTTATTACAGACTAATCTAACCAAGAAGCCAATAATCTTTTAGTTGCGTGGGATGTCAATCATCTGAGGTCAGTGGGATACCTTGAAGGGGGATGTGAGTTGATCAGATAAAGAGATAGTTCAGTTAATACATAACCTGGTTGCCAGGAGGGAAAAATCATTGATCCAACAGGGCATCGGTCAGTCTCAGTCGAAGTGCAATGTTTATTTAAGAATAGCAATTGCAGAACTATCATTTGCAAATATATGGCAATCTACGTAAATAAAATTGCTTGCTTAGTGCCTTCTTCCTGCTGGAGGAAAACACTGCTAGTATTTACCCCTGTCACTAATGACCCCTCAAAATAGCACAAATGTTATTATCTATTGAAATGTATTGGCCGCCAAGCTCCACTCTGTGTAGTGAATAAAAGTAAAAAAAAAAGCACAAAACATAAAAATAACATTTTAGCATGATTATAACTTTGTTGTTTGTATCTCATGATTTATGTTGATTGCCTTTATTTAGTATCCTATGACTATTACTGAGTTTGCATCTTATGATTTATGATGATTGTATTTTATGGTTATGATTTATCACTTGTTTGTATGTACACTTAAGCACTGGAGACAAATTCCCTTTGTGTCCAATCACACTTGGCCAATAAAGAATTCTATTTCAATATGCTATCTATTCAGTGATCAAATTCACTGGCATTAGAGAGAGGACCTTAAGGGAAATTGTCTGAAATGGTACTATGTCATGTATAGTTATGCAGCTATCAAGCTGGACAAGAAAACATGAAAGAAATTATAAAATATATTTATCTTCCATTGAATTGTGGCCTGATAATCAAGTAGAAAGTTATATTCCTGTTTTTCATCTTGAAAGTTATATTCCTGTTTCATCTTGAAAGACGCAACTGGAATATGCATAAATTGTGATATTGTGAACTTTGTTATTAAATCTTATGCAAGTCTTCTTCTGTTTCAGAAGACAAAACTCTTTGTATGACAACACTACTTACCATGATGAAAAACGGATTTGGCTGTATTGTTCACATGGTGTGAGAAATGATGAAAATGAGTCCATCATGACATGTCCAGAAGATGATGGCACAACGTTATTGTGAAGAAACATGAAAGGGGGGGGGGAGGTAGATGGAAAATGAAGAAGAAAGAAAGAAATGATATGAAAGTATGGTGGTTAAAGCTATACAAGGTCACAACTATTGTATTTGAGGTATCCCAATGCTGTGCTATAAAGGTTTTAAAGGTGACGACCAGCACTTTGAAATAGGTTTCTGGGCCCAATTCTAAGTATATGTCGTTACCTTTTAAGCCCTACATGGAGTACTGGGATACATCCAGGATTGCATTGCAAAAAGTGAAGGTGTCCACTTGGTCTGATTATATAGAAAGCTTCTGTTGAGGGCCTTCTCTCCCTGAGTCATTCCTAGGCAACAGGCCTTTATGCTGCCAATCCCCAATCTGTGGGAAATTATTCCTGTGGCGATTCAGGCAGCCTCAAACTTGCAGGATCCAATCTGGGTAAGTCACCGGGACCAGAGGCTTAGTCTTCCAAGCTTTCAGACTTGTGCTGGAGCCCATCCTCAGAGAACTTCTCTCTCACCAGAATGTATGCTTTTTTTTTCATTGACTGTTGTTTCTTTCTGCTGCAAAGTCCTCGGTTCCTAAATATAATCTGATAATCTGGTGCTAAATCAGCACTCCTGTTGACTAACATGGGGCCTGGTTCCCAGGCTTCAATCATTTCCCTGGTTATCTTTGTACCTGCTCGGCCAACAATCTTAGTAGCTGTGAAATTGAATGTGTGTCCTTGCTCATTGCAATGTGAGGCTACCACTGAGTTTGGGTCTCATACTGCTTGACTTACATCAGGGTACTGCAACATCTCCATGCTGGGAATTAGACTCTTTTTTAAACTGGATAACAACCAGTACAGGAAATTATATACAGCATTTCTTAGCACTGTCAGCCTCCTCTGACCTAAATAAGCCTCAACCTTGTTTAGATTCTAGAAAACGGTTAAACAATTAAAATGAAGATTGTTCCACCACTCTTGCCATGACTGATTATGAAAGGTTAACACAAACACTGATCTCATTACACTGTTTTATTTTCAGGTTTTAACTTTTGCATTCGAACTGGTATCAATTTATTTATTTGAAAATAAATATATAAATAATGTGTCTGTGTTCTCTCTGCCTATCTGTCTCACTTTCCTTCTTTGTAACTATCTTAAGCACAATTCATATGGTTAATTTGATGATAGTCAAGATATGGGGGAATGTATGTATTTATGACACATGTGGTGCGGTGCTTTTTTGATATTGTTAATGCAGGTTTTTAAAAAAATGTACTTAATAGTAATAACATTTCGGAAATTCAGGATATATTTTAAGAAATTCTTCTTCTCTCTTTTTTTTAACTCATCTGATTTGCTTTGTCATTATGCACAATCTATAGTCACCAAGACTAGAACTTTATTCTTTAAAAAGAAAAAAAATAAAGTTAACCATTTTCATAATTTTAATAAACTATGAACCATGAGAACTTAAGCCAAGGTCTTATGTTAGTGTACTTCTGATTTAGGGTTTTTTTGGTGTCCACTATTGATATTCCCTCATGTATTCCAACTAAAATACCTGAGCAAATTGGAAAGAATGAACAGTTTCACTGACAATTTTCATTAGTCTTCTACCTATCTTCTGTGACAGCCTACTACAGACTATGTATCCAAGGTACCACAGTAATCAATGCCATTACTCCTTGCCAAATTAATGCCGGGGTCAAAATGAGATGGATGGAATCCAAATGTAATATTCTTAATATTAACAAGGGACAATTTTTTCAGGCTTTCCAAAATGCATTATTACTTATAACTTTTTCATCCAAACGATGTGGCTGCTATGTACTTACAGTAATCCTGCTACTCACCATCAGCCAAGTTATCCATGTGCCAGAAACTAAAAATGTTAAATTCCAAAAGGAATCTGTCAAAGAAGAAAAATATGATGTAGTTTATGTCAGCCCAGAAGAGCAGAGGTGTTGTAAAACAGGCAGATACTTCTGATTTGCTGCTTAAAATTTACCTTGAAGCTACATTTATTTATTGCCTGAACCAGGCACTTAAAATCCTTCTTCCTTACTTTTTGACTGGGTAATTGTGTCTTAATTCTCATAAAAACTACTAGCTATTCCAGTGGCAAGGCTGCCATTAACATTGTGCTCTTAGGCGCTGGGAGGGACATATTCTCAGTCACCTTGAAAGCCATCTGCTTGAATCACTGGTATGCGATATACAGCAACAGCTGTTGAGTGTGCCTGACAAATTAATCTCTACAAATATCTTGGAATTTGGTTCCCTGCTCAGAGGCATTTGGATCCATCCAATCCTTTCATCTGAAGCCCACAGCATCACTGAATGGTGCTGCCCCAGATATCTTTATCATCAGCAAATCTTTGTTACTAAAAATCCCTGCTCTTCCATTAATAAAGTGGCAGGTAATGTAAATGGGCTTAATATACTTGCTCAAGAACAAAATGACCTCTTTTCAAATGTGCTTTCATTCACACAGCTCACTCTAGAACACCCAGTTGGTCAAATTTAAGAAATCAAGAATAATTCTGAAGACTCAGAGATACCCCTTGATTTCCCTCAGAATATTGCAACATCTCCATGCTGGGAACTGCAGTCTTATTTTATCTGGACAACCCTGGGGAAATTGTATATTTCTTAGCACTGCTGCCCACTTTGAAGTTGCTTTAATATTTTCTTGTTCATTTCCTATTATAATAAAATTCTAGAACAGTGGTTCTCAACCTGTGGGTCGGGACCCCATTTGGGGTCGATCGACCATTTCACGGGGGTCGCCAAGCAAGGCTGTCCGCCATTTTTTTGTCCGCCATTTTTTTTCCCCCGGCGGGTGCCTTACCTCCCTTGGGCTGGGCCAGCTGGTGGTCGGCCTGCTCCGTCTCTGCTACTTGCTAGCTACGCCTCGGCCGGCGCAGGGGGCGGAACCACGCATGCGCGGCGCTCCCGGGCAGGGAAAGTCCTCGACTTACGACCGGTTGGGTAGTCCTCGACTTACGACTGGTTTAGTCCTCGACTTACGACCGGTTTAGTCCTCGACTTACGACCGGTTGGGGTCGCGGCATTAAAAAGGTTGAGAACCACTGTTCTAGAACAACAATACTATCAAAAGTTAAGAATGTGCTTAATCTGAAGACCTCAATCATTCAATGCTTAATATACTAATTAAATTCTGAAACATAATTTCTTCAGATGTAATTTTCCGCTAGAATTCCCAAACATTCATACTCACATGAGGAAATCGGTGACCAGCCACTTTGCTGCTGCCAATAATGTGTAAACTGGCTGTTGAAAAAAGAACAACCAAGTCTCAAAAGAAAAAGAAGCATCTTATATAGTGCACAATTTTAATTGTGTTTCTCTTAATAACTTAAAATGGCTTTCTTTAAGAATGCAACATGCATCCAAATCAGTTGTCTTTTCTACTAACAATAAATCAGGACATTTAAGAAAAATATATTAAATATTTTGAAAATAAAGTTTTTCCAATTGAAAAGGCTTAAACGATTATGTGCATAAGGAAAAAAAAATCTGGTTATTTGTGGAGCTGAACAACCAATACCTCCCCTAAACAGCTGTTTTGGATCATGCAGTACTGAAAATATTGTTCATTTTAATAAAACCCAAAGCATTTTGGACAGTAAAGCTACCATTTTTTATCGCAATAGGAATAATGACATGTATTGATGTTGGGTTATATTAATATTGCATTAACGTTGGCTGTCTTCTTATGAATACTTCTGAGCTACTTTTGCTATGAATCTACTAAGTCTTCCTCATTTTGACCAGACAAATGAAGTCAAACTAGTGCTACCATCTTCAGGATGTATAATTGATAATGTACATGGTTAAAAGGTCCTTGCATTTCCACACATATGCAATTCAACTTTAAAGACAAAGAGGCAACCTTCTTGAGACTTGAGATCAGTTTGAATAAAAAGGAAGGAAGAAGGCTCTGTTTATAAAGACACCACCATTCTAATAAAGATCCTTCATTGTTAACATAATATAAATGTTTTTTCTTCTGTTCAATTGTGTCCAATTCTTGGAAACTGCTAAATAACTTCTTTCAGTTTTCTTAGCAAGATTTTTCAGAGGTAGTTTGCCATTGTCTGCTTCCTAGGGTTGAAAGAAAGTGACTGGACCAAAGTCACCCAGGTGGCTTTGTGACTAAGGTGAGACTAGAACTCAGTCTACCATTTTCAAACTTGATGCCTTAACCACTACACCACATTGTCTCTTTACAAATTAGTTAAACCCAGCCAAATAAAACAACTCAATTCAACCATAGTAGAAAATCCTATTGTTACTAGGTAAAGAAACCTATTATGAAATTCCTTGGTGTTAGGAGTATGTTTCTGGATTTTCTGTATAGAATAGAGCTAGCAGGCTTAAGGGTTTGCTAGTCAAATATGGCTCCAGAACGGTCCAATGTAAGATTACTATAATTTGAGCCATATATAGTTTATTTGCTAAAGAAAACAAATGCACAAATAAGACAAGAACCGAAAGAATGAAAAGTTCACCCTTCACTTTCCCAACCTAGAATGAATTTTCTCAGTAACATCCATCTTCTCTAAATTAATATATATGCACTGTCACTTGTCCAGTACAAATAACTCATGGGAGAAATCACAGAATCAAGGCTGGAGTACTCAGCCAATTTATCTTAAAAGTGTTCTCTCTCCCCCTCCCCCACCAGAATCTGGCTTATTCCTTTTGCATGAACCTCGTTTGCTCAAGTTTTAACTGCAAAAGTGTACGGTTGTATGGAAACCACCTGCTTTGCAAATGTACGTACGACTCAGAAAATGAACAAATGAATGGAATGATTTACATGCCTCCTTCCGTTAAGGAGCTCCAGGTGTTATTCATAATGCTTCCTTCAAGTGTCCATTGTTTTTACTTCTGCTCTAGCAGAGTGCGTGGACTGTAAGCAAAGCAGGAACACAAAATGACAGTGGAAATCTAATGTTACCCCACAAAACCCAGCAATTTCATGAGAATCCTTTCTTTAGAACTCAGGGCTTTTGAACTTGGCTGCTGAAAGGTTTTAATGTTTATCTTCAACACTGACCACTTTGTCCACCAACACAACGATTACAGAGTAGAAATCCATCCTGTTCTAAAGTACTGTATAATTCCTGACTAGTCTTCATGTACAGATGCTCAGATGTATGTATGTAACCCTGGACAGCTTTTTTCTTTTAGAATGCTCTGCCAGTTATAGAATGGAAAAAAACATATATAGATGGACATGCCTTGTCTTCCTTATCTGCCTTTGTCTGCAGGAGGAAGGAGAAATTTTCTGACAGTAAGAACAATTAATCAATGGCATAGCTTGCCTCCTGGAGTTGTGGGTGTACCATCACTGGAGGTTTTCAAAAATAGACAGGGCAACCATTTGACCAGGATGGCATACAGCAGTGGTTCTCAACCTTTTTAATGCCACGACCCCAACCGGTCGTAAGTCGAGGACTAAACCGGTCGTAAGTCGAGGACTAAACCGGTCGTAAGTCGAGGACTACCCAACCGGTCGTAAGTCGAGGACTTTCCCTGCCCGGGAGCGCCGCGCATGCGTGGTTCCGCCCCCTGCGCCGGCCAAGGCATAGCTAGCAAGTAGCAGAGATGGAGCAGGCCGACCACCAGCTGGCCCAGCCCAAGGGAGGTAAGGCACCCGCCGGGGAAAAAAAAATGGCGGACAGCCTTGCTTGGCGACCCCCGTGAAATGGTCGATCGACCCCAAATGGGGTCCCGACCCACAGGTTGAAAACCACTGGCATACAGTCTCCTGCCTTGAACGGGTGTTTTACCAGAAGATCTCTGAGGTCTCTTCCAGTGCCATGATTCTGTATTTGATGTTCTCTTTTGTTCTGGGAGAACAAAAGCAACTAATCTCATCAGAAAGAAAAGCATTTCTGAGCTTCTTTGCATCATTCTGTTCTATGCTCCAAGCCTGGCTGTGACTTCACGATGTAGTTTATGATATGGAGATACTTACACTGAGAAGAGGACGGGTACCACTATGATGGTGATGGGGCACTTTACACATGGCTTGGTAATCAAACATCTTCACTCTGCAGAAACACAAAAGTGACCATGAACTTTTGTGTAGTACAGTGTTTCTCAACTCTGGGAAGTTTATGTTGGGTGAATTTCAACTCCCAGAATTCTCTTTATTCCCTTATTCTAAAAGCCATCATTTACCCACCCCAATGCTGCTTGATCAGCAATGGCATTTCAAAGTGTTCTTCAGAGTTCGGCTCTTCAGGACGCTTTTTAGTGGAAATGGCAGAAACTAATCAAGGCATATATGATACAATTGCATTATAGTCCCATAGCTACCTATTCTTCTGCCTTGCACATGACTTTTGCGTAGATTTAAATTCAGTTAATGCACTGAACTGACTTTAGTTCATACTCTAAGCAAATACCTACAGTACATTTATGCCTCCAGTTGGATATTGCACAGCAAGATTTATCTGCTATATTCAAAGAAGAGATTTTGTACTACATTTGCAGTGTGCTCTTGCGATGTGCAAATACTATATATTATTTACCAAAATAACCACAGCTACTATTCTATTCACTCCAAAGTCCATTCTGGCAAAGAATGACATCTCAGTCACTTTTTCCACCTAACTATAGCACAGTGGTTCTCAACCTTTTTAATGCCGCGACCCCAACCGGTCGTAAGTCGAGGACTAAACCGGTCGTAAGTTGAGGACTAAACCGGTCGTAAGTCGAGGACTAAACCGGTCGTAAGTCGAGGACTACCCAACCGGTCGTAAGTCGAGGACTTTCCCTGCCTGGGAGCGCCGCGCATGCGTGGTTCCGCCCCGTGCCAGCCTAGGCGTAGCTGGCAAGCAGCAGAGACGGAGCAGGCCGACCACCAGCTGGCCCAGCCCAAGGGAGGTAAGGCACCCGCTGGAAAAGGGGGAAAAAATGGCGGACAAAAAAAATGGCAGACAGCCTTGCTTGGCGACCCCCGTGAAATGGTCGATCGACCCCAAATGGGGTCCCGACCCACAGGTTGAGAACCACTGCTATAGCAGCTGTGTTATTTTCTTTGACCAGAAACAAATAATATTGAATGTTATGTAAGATAGTTCTGGCTGTGCTCCTTATATCCTCTTGGTTAAATGTACCTGTCCTGGACCCTTTGTATACTCAGTCTGTAGCCCATATAAGTTATTTTCATCTACAGTGAATGGCACCAAATTTCTATGGTTCCAGATAACAGACTTTTTCAGAAATGTGGTCTTTGAACATGAAACCCCTGGCAATCAAAAGTTCTATACTACACCAAACATAAAACTAGTATTTGTAAGAACCAAAGAGATTGAGACAGGAAGTAATGAAGTGGGGAAGATCCACAGGGTAACATCTGTCCCTTTCGTTCTGATTTTCATGCTCGACTGATAATATATGAAATGTCCAAGTTTGGAACATGAATATACCAGAACTGGTTATTTTGATAATATAGGAATGTGTGTTGTACCTCTGACAGTTACAGTGACATAAAGGTATGTGTTTGAAACTGTTTTCTTGACATCTTTCTAGCTGCATTTCAAAATGTGGGTGGTGAAATATATTGATCTTAAATATTTGTTCACATGCTGCATAAACATAAGGATGGCTGAGCTAGTCAGCAGACATTCCTCTCATCAAAGTTTTTTTATTATATCATTACAGATAGATTGCACTTATAATCATGTAATTTGCATATCATAGTTGCCAAAGTGAGTGAGACAGAACCGGCAGTTCTTTAGAAGAAACGTGTATTATAGGGAACAAAACTAACAAAACCAGAAATGTAGGTATGTATTTATATATATATTCTGCCTTTATTATTTTTACAAATAATTCAAGATGGGAAACATATCCAACACACCTTTCTCCTTCTATTTTCTCCACAACAACACTGTAAGGCAGGGGTCCTCACACTTGGCCACTTTAAAACTTGTGGACAGAATTCTGGGAGTTGAAGTCCACAAGTCTTAAAGTGGCCAAGTTTGAGGACCCCCTGCTGTAAAGTGAGTTGGGCTGAGAATGAATGTTCTGGCTCAAAGTCACCCAGCTGGCTTTCATGGCTAAGGCAGGACTAGAACTCATGGTCTCCCACTTTCTAGCCTGGTGCCTTAACCACTACACCAAACTGGCTCTTCCGCTATCGTCCACTCTCTTCATCCTGTCTGTCTTTATTTTAATCGGTAGTATTATTAGGAATGAGGCACTTTCAGAGCATAAGAAGAGTAATTTAGGTCCCAAGTCAAAGTTCTTGCTGGGAATCCCCATCCCAAATCAATTCTTATTTAGAAAGCTAGTGGCTACATGGAGGGAGCCTATGGCTTGCACACACACACCACTTTCATGGGGGCACTAGCAGCCGTGGTGGCTCTGGGGCACCTTCAAAGTGATGAAAGAACCCTGGCAGGTGGCTAAAGCTACCAGATCTGAGATGCTAAATTCCAGAAAACCACTAGATGGCAGTACAGAGTTTCTGCTTGAAACTCTCTTCAGATAATAACTTTACCCTACCCATCATGCCATTGGGTTCCTCTATGGACATGTTCTGATCGTGCACAATTAGCATTGTTTAAGAAAGATTCTGAGTCTAACTCTCGTGTCAATGAATCTTTAGGGAGCTCCATCCTTATTTTGATTATGCTGTGAAGCATTTTGCTTCAAACAGGGTCTTCTTTGAAAGGAGATGAATATAAGGAAGAGATGATGACACTTACTCTTTGAGCATCCCCATATTTACGAGCTGAGTTGTAACAGAACCATCTACTTCTCCCAAGAATTTTCCAATCTGCAACGGCAAGCAGGTATGATATAAAAACAGAGTTTCTGGACAGTTTTTAAATCATAGGTTTTGTTTTGCAGGACATTCTTAAGCAGGTGAGTTAAATATTCACTAATAATACAACAGGCTAAATTAAAGTAGTAATACAACAGGCTAAAACTGATTGTTAGAATAGGCTTTTTAAAAAAGTGTCCTAGAATGTTGCAAACACAGTCTGTTGATTTGTTTATAGTTCACTGTATTTTGTGAACCTGAAAAAGAGTTAATTCAGTAACCAGGTTTATAGATGTTGTGTGAATATTGCCACAGGCTGCAAGGATGAAATACTTACTGATTATTATATAGCAAATTCTTTAAGGGCATAAGGACTATGTACTTATGTTGTTTGGGGAAAAAGTGAAAGCACAGTAAGACACATTAAATCAGGGGTGTCAAACTCACAACGTCACATGACGTGTCGCAACGTATCACAACTTTTTTGCCATTGCCGGCAATGGGGTGGGCACAGTTTTGCTATGATGCATCCGGCCCATAGGCCAGCAGTTTGACACCCTTGCATTAAATTGAAAAAACTGAAGTCCATGCTCAGTTTACCTTTGAACTCAGTATCTATGTTCTTATAATCAGGCTGTAAAAACACTTAGCAAATGCACACCAAATTTGCTAAATCTGTTAGCTTTAACTTTTTTTCCCCCTTTTTGTGCTTGACTGGGCTTGTTAAGCAAATCCTGCAAATTCATTGGTTAATGTACTCAGAAAACGAGTAAATCTGTACAGTTTACTGGTTGGAGCATGCTGTATGAATACAGTGGGAGGCTTCAGATCACTGGAGATTGAGGCAAGCTTTAGACAAACCATTATGTGTTGCCTTCAATGTGCAAGATAATAATAATGGCCTACTTTGTAAGGATGAGAATAAATGCAAAGGGTTTGAACACTTGATGTATTATTTAAATAGTGCTGCCTCTGCTGAGATGGAAGGTATTAAGGCAATTAAGCTATTTTGCTCAAATCTCCTTGTAGTTTAAGGTCACTTTTGCCCAAGGAAGTTTCTGATAGGATAGCAAGCAAGCTCACTTCTTAATTTTCTTATGTTTTCAAGTTCTAATACTGGAAATGTACTGCAACCTTCTTCCTTTTCTTACCTTTTCTTTACTCAGATTTTTACATTGCTGCAGTAATATTGTGCTTGAATGAGGTTTCAAAATTATTACGATGCATTAGTATGTGAAGAAGATCTCTGACATCTATCAAAACATTTTGTTTACTCAAGATACATTTAGTCTGACATGGCTTTGTCAAAGTAGGAGTTGACAGGTTCCTTAAAAGTCTTTGGTACATACTCATATGCATCTAAACATATTTTAAAGGGCAAGTACTTTTGGCCTAGCACAGGGGTAGGCAACCTTGGCTCTTTTATGACTCGTGGACTGCAACTCCCAGAATTCCTGAGCCAGCATCGCTGGCTCAGGAATTCTGGGAGTTGCAGTCCACGAGTCATAAAAGAGCCAAGGTTGCCTACCCCTGGCCTAGCAGTTAAGAAGCTGAGCTTGTCGATCAAAAGGTTGACAGTTCAACACCCAAGTACCGCATGACGGGGTGAGCTCCTGTTTCTGCCCCAGTTCCTGACAATGTAGCAGTTCGAAACCATGCAAATGTGAGTAGATAAATAGGTACCACTTCATTGGGAAGGCAACAGCATTCCATGTGCCTTGGTGTATAGTCATGCCAGCCACATAGCCATGGGAATGTCTTCAGATAATGCTGATTCCCTTGGCTAGGAAATGGAAATGAGTACCATCCCCTAGAGTTGGACATGACTGAACAAGGGAAACCTTTACCTTTATCTTTACTTACTGTTAAGGCATCACAGAAGGAATTTTGCACTAACAATTCTTCCTAACAATGAAAACTTAAACTTTCAATGTGAGATGGTGTATCTCACCCATGCTAGTCTAATGGCATGCTCTGTTTCCCTGGGATTTTGAGTGCCATGACAGGGCTGCACTCCAAAAATTGATGGGGTATGACAAAGTATATACAGCTAGGACAAGAACAAAATTCGTTGTATTTATTTGATGCTTCCATTACAAATGCTTAAATGCAGCTGATATAATTACCTCACATGTTGTGAATATTTCTCTTTTTCTGCAATATGAAGAACAGATGGCATTCAGAACTGTATGCCAGGCTTTCCAGGAGGGTAAATGTGAGCAACCTTAGAAATATAGGTAGTGATTTCCTAGTCTGACCATTTTATTTAGTGTTTCTTCCAGACTCAGTTTGATAAATAAGATCAAGAGCCACTCATTCATTCCTTCTTACCTGCTGGGAGATTTTGGAAATAAGTATGAATCCATTGTTATCAATAAGGTAGCAATTCAGATTCTGCAGGAAGAAAAAGACAGAATCTTCAGAAAAAGGTTAAACTTTGGGGAGGAGTTTTAGGTCAAGAATAGGCCTCAAGAGCAGTATTTCCATGTCGAGGGCTGCATTCCTGCAAGAATAATCTGTTCGAGGCATCTCTCGAGGCAGTGGTGGGATTCAACTGGTTCAGACCGGATCGGCAGAACCAGTAGCTAATTTTTGTTGAGTTCAGCAAACCGGGTGAAGCCCTAGCCCTTTTTCGCAAGGCCCACAATGGCCCTCCGGAAGTGCATGGATGCTGCTTCCGGAAGTCCATTCTGGGCCTCGGAGGCCCAGGCCCAGAACAGACTTCCGGAAGCAGCGTCCATGCAGAGAACCAGTTGTTCACGTATTTGAATCCCACCACTGGGCAGGGGTGAAACAAGTCATGGGGAGACCAGAATCCTGAAGACTGCGTAAAAGTAAACTAAGGGTTAACAGTCTCATCTCTTTTAGATGAGATCTTTGAAATCATCTAAGGCTCAGTTTAGATCTCTGGCAAGAGCAGTCTTTCAGTTGGTCAACAAACTATAGACCAGGGAGAAGAAAGGAAGGGAAGGGAAGGGAAGGGAAGGGAAGGAAGGAAGTTCTAGCCATTTTGGGTTTTACCCCACCCATGCTGCTTTTCGTCATTCACTCCTTGAGTCCATCATAAGTTATACTAGAAGGAATGCAACATTAACTGAAAATAAAAGGTTCTGTAGCTTTATCTTTTTATGTCAATGAGGCATATTTTTACTTATTTAAAAGATTTCTATATACCTGTATCTGGAATGCCTCAAAGCAATCTACATTAAAATAACAGCATATATACCCCAATGAAAAATACTGATAAAAATAATACTTTAAATTCAACAATTTTGCATAACAAAAACCATGGTTGGCCCTAACATTGGTCTCCATAGACCAGTGATGGCGAACCTTTTGGAGTCCGAGTGCCAAAACTGCAACCCAAAACCCACTTATGCATCGTCGGGTGCTGGGTGGGTGTGGCCCATTGGCTGGGTGTGGCCCATTAGCTGGGTGTGGCCCATTGGCTGGGTGTGGTTGCAGTGGTAACGGCAGACTGGGTGGGACTAAAAAGTTCAATCAATCAATTCCAACTTTGCAAGATCTTTTTTTTTCCCACGAGAAGTTGAAATTGATTGATTGAACCTTTTTTTCTTTTGCACACAGTGGCGGAAGCCTAAAGCGAAAAGGTTTTATAAAACCCAGCTGAAGGCCTAGGACTGGGGTGACGGCGCACGTGCCCACAGAGAGGGCTCTGAGTGCCACCTCTGGCACCCATGCCATAGGTTCGCCACCACTGCCATAGACCTTCCAAAATGCCCTGGCTTCTTTGGAAACCTCTAAGAATCAGGGGGGGGACTTTATTTTGGGCCAAAATAGAGAGCTCCCCAGAGAATGCTCACGTTCATGATTTCTCCTGTCTCAACTCACAATAATTTGGGAGTTTCAGCCTGCTATCCACCACCATATCTGATCTGATCTTCAGGTAAAGTAGTCATGCAATGCTCTACAAATAACCATCTTTTGTTATCATAGTTTCATTTGTAAAAACATCATTAAAAAAGACAAGTAAGAGTAGTTGAATAGTGATGCTGGGTCTCCTTTCATGCTGGATTTAGGCTGTCTATATAGCATGAAAGTAAATTTGGCCCTGAACCACTGAATTACAGATATGAGCAAAATCCAAGTCTAAACAACTTACATCATCATGACAGTTCATTGGACACAAGCCGTCCACATTACTACACTGTAAAAGAAGAGAAAGAGTTTAAATAATTTCTTATTTAAAGATGCATTTTCCTGAGCTGTATTAAGTACTTTCTCTGGATTTATGGAATATTCCTGTCTAATTCTAGCACTACTCATATTATTCAGGTAGATTAAAAAGAATTTCCTACAGTAGTGTTCCTCTGACTGGGTCCATCCTGATATTTTGACCTCTAGCAATAACATATCAGCAATACTATGAATCTGGTAAGTATTTAAATACTTGTTTATTTGGGAATACAAATAATATGCAAGATATTTATGGAAAAGACTGGGTTGCAATTGAAATGTTGACACTTTTACTTTAAAAAAAAAACTTCTCATGGGATAATTCTATAATAAAAATAACTGGTATTTTTTTCCAGTAAATCTGGACTTTTTATATTATTGTATTTACCTGATAAGAAAATAAGGTTTCTTCCCACAACTATAATCTGTGAATCAGATCATCCTAGACTGGCTAAAAACAATATTGAAAACAAGCAAAGGGATACAAGTGCAAATACTGCACATATCCCTGCTGAAAAGCCCTGAAGACTCGGGATTACAGGTCATCCTTGATTTACAACCATTTGTTTAGCGACTGATCAAAGTTACAATGGCACTGAAAAACGTGTCTTATGACTGGTTTTTGCACAGCATTCCCATGGTCATGTGATTAGCATTGGCTTCTTAGCAACCAGCATTTATTTACGACCGCTGCAGTGTCTCAGAGCCACATGATCATTATTTGCAACCTTCCCAACTGGCTTCCGAGAAGGAAAGTCAATGGGGGAAGTTGGATTCGCTTAATGACTGCATGATTCACTTAAACACTTCAGTGATTCACCTAGCAACCGTGGCAAAAGAGGTCATGAAACTGAGCGTGACACACTTAACCACCAACTTGCTTTCCAATGGAAATTTTTCATCCCAATTGTGGTTGTAAGTTGAGGATTACCTGTACTGTACTTTCAAGGGGTTATTTACCTGGAGACTTTTATCTTTTTTGTAATCTCTCTCCTTTCCTTCCTTCTTTCTCTCTTCAATTAACTTTTCCCTTTTCTACATCTCCATCCAGTTTTGTTCCCCCACCTTCTCTCTCTTTCCATCGCAGCTACAGATTCATCTCACCCTATTTTTATCTTGCTTCTGTGTCTGTGTTTAGCTGTTCAAACAGGGTGCCCTGGATATTAGTGCTCAGGCTGACATAGCAACACTTGCTATATCAAGTCCTTAAAGTGGTTGGCCCAGAATAAAAAGACTTTCCACCTAGAAAAATACCCAACAGTGGGTCTAACACAAGGCCAGAGAGCAGCCTTAATCAGAGTAGCATTTGAGCTTGTGGATTCTATGATAAAATGAGGATTCCATCAAGCACCATATTTAGAAAGGAAATATCTATAAGATGTTCCACATATACAAGATCCTGCATATATTCTCTGTGCTTGCCGGCTATATGCTTGAGCCAGGATGCAGCATTCAGAGTCACTAATCGGCAGGATAGCTTATAGGAATCCAATCAACAGACTATCTTCCTTTGTTTAAAGCACAAACACATGGACACTCAGAAAGGCTGCCAACGTTTATAGTTAAAGCCATTCAACCAAGAACTTCCTACCAAGATCAGATTGTGGTCAATAGCCAAGGAGATGAACTTAGAATATTTTACTGGACTCAAATAGGTTGCATTAATTTTACTCTGTTACTATGTACTGATGCTGTGTTTTGATCCAAGGTGATTATTTGACTAATCAGTAGAAGACATCTACTTGCAGATTGTTGCATGATCACATCCAGGGAGTCACTAAGAGCAGAGTTTAATTTCAAGGAGACATTACTTACTTCGGATTTTATAACCATTAATAACAACAGCATGATCACAGAATTGCAGAATTGGAAGGGACTGTAAGCATCATTTAACCCCAACCCCTGCAATGTGTAGGAAAGTCAATGAAACCATCCATGAGAGGTGGCTATCAAGATTCTTCTTAAAAACCTCCAGAGATGGAAAGCCCACCATCATTGATGGCGTTAATGATGATGGCGTTGATGATGATAGTGGCGGTAATGGTGATGATGATTCACGGAAGGCAAGTAATATCAAAGAAGGGCATCAGAAATATATATATATTTCAAAATTTGGATTGCTAACAAAAAATCAGGGACACTATATTGTAAGAGGCTTCAGGGAGGTGGAGGGAGAATTAACAATCCCATTTTTATCTTTATATAATGAGGTGGCTTTAAAAAAGAGAGGTTTCTTCCATTCAATTTAGTGTCATCTCTGGGAGAGATAATGCAAAATGAATTTGTTTGATACAAACATTTACTTGTTTGTATGAATAAACCAAGCCATAAAGCTGGCCATAAACCTTCTAATTGCTTCTATATTATGAAATGCATCAAGAAGTTATGAGGACCAGAATTGAGATGTAGATATCTGCAAATCAGTTTTTAGAGTCAGTATCCCATCTCTCTGATTAACAAACAGGAATGCAAATATTTCCTAAAGACAAGAACTGATTGTGACATTCGTATTCTTGTAGCCTGTTTACCATTCCAGTATTTGTCTCTGTGTTAATTAAAATGTGTGGTTTGCTGCAGAAAATTCAATAAATATTCCTGATTGGATATCCAATGTACCACATGTACAAATTAATCTGTCCTTCATATAAAGTTTAGTTTCCCTTAATATATTTATGATTAGTTGTGCCTACATTTACATTGGCACATCAAAGCATGCCAGGACATGTACAATCTGGAAATCAAGCACTTGACTTTCAGAAGCTGTGTATTGGTGGTACTCAATTATTCTGTGTTACTATGGATTTTAAGATTTCTAATGTGTTTAGTTTCTGGGGGAGGAACTATGGCAGACTAAACATCCCTGAAGGAGAGGGGATGGCATTGCGGTGGAGACCGGGAGCCAGATGGCATATTCAGGCAGGTGCTGTCTTTCCAGACAAGGAGAGATCATGAAAATATTCAATTCAAAAACAGTTTTTTGTGGTCAGCTAAGGAATTGAGTGCTTGGGAGTTGAGGGATTTCAATCAAGTTCACAGCCATGATGCAACCTCTATGGACACTAGGTTCACAGAAGCCTCACTTTCTTATCCACTTTCAGATGTAATCGATTTACAGCTAAACAGAGATTTTTCTGAGTGGCAGGATAAAAGTAATCCACTTAGTGAGTCAATATTCTTTGTGGATTAAAAAGAAAAAAGGATTGTAAAGATTAAAAACTTTTAGCAAAAAGCTTAACAAGAAGTAGATGTAAGAATGTTTACAACTGATAAAGGAGTTGTGTGTGTGTGTGAAACTGCTTTTAAATAAATTGTAATTAAAATAGACAAGCAAACCAGACCTTCTTGGAAATGTTTTTTAATTGCTATTAAGAATGCAGACAATTGGTGAATTTTATAAAACAAAAGATAAAGATAATATGAGCTAAACTGCAATGCTTACACTACAAAGTGCCATTTGGATAAAAGTATTAAGGTGGGGTGGGTGGGCAATTCTCCTAAGTGGCCACATAAGAAACTGGGATTGTTGTAATGTAGAGTATTGCCACTACCAACCCCCACCCCCACCACCCCAGTGCTGCTGCCACCCCAGCGCTGCTGCCACTCCACTGCTGCTGCCGTGGACTCGACAAGAACAGCCGAAGCACTGGATGTGGCCCACAGGCAGTAAAAGGCCCAGGTCTATATTAAGGGCACAAGAAAATAATAGAGGGGGGGAAAAGGAGGGGAAAGCTTGCCTTTTGTTTGGTAACTACCAAAAAGTGGAAAAAATAGCAGAGGGAAGAACAGCTTGCTAGAGCAACCTGCAAAACAGGAATTACACCAGATTTACTTCAGAAAATGTTTGAGAAATTGGGCAATATGTTAGCTAAAGTATAATAAACTGACTAAATCACTGCATCCTAAATTGGCAGCTTTTTAAAAAATGTGACTCAAAGACCTGTAAAGAAGAGATAAAAAGACGAGAAGAACAAAAGCTCTGTAAAACAAGTATCTGGAGAGGTAAAATGAATGAATGACAAAGTGGAAATTTGGGAGAGTTATGGACAGAGAGCTGGAAAAAGTATTAGATAATATGGCACTACTGGAATTGCAAAAGAAGGAATTTTGCTTGAGAATTAGAGCAATTCCAGAGGATTCTGCTGAAGATTGCTTTAGCAAATGTTTTTGATTATGATGAGGAGGATATATGCAGGCAGAAATTGATAAGATATATAGAATAAATACATTGCTGGGAAGAATTTCTGGAATAGAAATAAATGTCCTCTGTAGAGTGAAGTTTTTATTTCAGACAATTCCTATTTTGAAAACTGATGTTTTATTCAAGCAATGGCAAAAAGATATATCTAAAATTGTGTTGCATGGGGAAAAAACCCACAAGTTAAATATATGGTCTTACAGGATAGAAAGAAACAGGAAGGACTGAGTGTACTTGATTTGAAATTGTATTTTGCAGCTTGCTGCTTGGTTTGGATGAAATAATGGGTATAGTTGAGAAATAGAAACACTTTGGAGTTAGAAGAACATGACCAAAGATTTGTGCGGCATGGATTAGAAAGATTTAAAATAGACAAAAAAGTTTCTGGTTTTGACTATTGTGCTTTTGAAATGGAATTACATGCAAATAATGAACATGTAATTGATAAAATCCATAAACTTCTATTGAAATTTGAAATAGAAGAACAAGTGGGAGAATCTATGATAAGTTAAAAAAATTGGTTATCATATACAGATGGAACAATGGGAAAATATGTGGTTGAAAGGACTGACATTTATACTATGTTATAATTTAAATAATGTTTATAAAATGATATTCTGTTGGTAATTCAAATTCATGTTGAAAAAGTGAACAAAAAGAAGAGGCATATCATGCTTGGTGGACATGTAAAAAAGCTAGAACACTTTGGATTCATATATATGCTGATTCAGAGGATTTTAAAATTAATAAACAATTGAGACTAGAGGTCTTTCTTTTGGGACTGATGAACACAGTTGGAAAAAAGTCATGACATTTTTTGTATACGATTACTATACCAAGATAATTGTATGCACAAAGATGGAAAAAAATTGATAAAACCTACAATGGAGGAATGGTTGGTGAAGATGACAGAACTTGCTGAGAGGGTCAAATTGACTTCTTTGATCAGAGAAAAGACAGTATCTATATTTATTGCTGACTGGAAAGTCTTTATGGACTTTTTGTCAAAAACAGAAAAAAATGAACTTACGATTTATAGTTTTGATGATTAGACAGGGTAAATTATAGAAAGAAGAGAGACATGTAGCTTTAGAGAAGATAAATCTATAACTGTACTTATAACTGCTATAAAGATCAGGAATCACTTCTTTGTATCTTTTTTCTTCTCTATTTTTCTTTTTCTTTTTTTGCACATTTAGTTTTCTCTTTAATTTCTTTCTTTTTTTAATCTTTTCTTAACTTTATATTAATGTGCATTAATTTTTATCTTCTTTTATTTAAAAAATAAGAAGAACTTTCAGATTTGCAAGATTGATATCAGCCTCCCCAAGTAGATCAGAGAGAAAACATAGCCAGATGAGATCATCCTATTTTATTGTAAAGGCTACATTAACAGAATCGTGCAAGTCTGAAAATACAAACCTCCTGCTATCTCTTTTTATAGCCTGATAAGTTAGGAAGGATCCTATCTGAGTTTCTTTCTCTGCCCGTTAAGCAATTGTGGGGTCCCCCTCCCCTTTTTTGTCTGATCATTTCCTAAGCAGCATATATTCCTTTTCACATTTAAGTTGTGCAGTGCATAACTATCACACATTTGCAAAGGCAGTTATACAAAGCTGAGTTCAATTGCCTCAGTCTTAGATTTGTTAAGGAGCTTTTTGTAATCTTTGCAGCTGGATTCCTACTGGGGTTGATACTTAAGATTTTTTTTTTCCTTCACAGAATTTGTAGAGTGTTTGGCCGGATTATTTTTATATATTTGAGATTTAATCAGTTTTAAATCTGTTTCTATTGTGCCAGTTCCCAGTCCTTAGCAACTTAATCTGATTTGTCTGTAATATTTGGGTATACAAAGAGGAATATTCGAACTTCACACCTCACACACAAATGACAAAACAATAATCAAAGCTTAGTGATGTACATAATCCATAGGTTCTCTTGAATATTTTAGTCTTTAAATCTTCTTACTTACATCTGTATCATTGGGCTGCAAAACAGTAAACAGAAGCAACATAAAACAGAAAGAAGAGAGAAAATGACCATTAACGACTTATCCACTGTTGAGTGCCACAGAGCAGAAGAAAGCTTCCTATACAACTTTTTGTGGATTCTACAAACAGAAATATGAGCAAAAGTTGAAATTTGCCTTTACTTTCTCTCAAAATACACCATTTCCTGGGGTGTACAGCATCAGGTTCCAAAATATCAGTTGTCCCATTCTCTGTCTTAGGAATGGCCTTCTAAGTTGTACATTTTTAATGTGAGAAAATCCCTATTAAATATACATGGGTTACCATATTACTTAATAATGGATTAGATTAATCCATTAATTAATTTGGTTTTAATTACATTCAAAGTAAATCAAATCAGATAGAAAGAGAGAGATTTGCTCTGGGCTGACACATCCTCTTGGAGTCATCTGCAATGATGCATAAAAAAAGAGGGCAGATCTTCAGTCATAGGAATGTGGCCATCATCTTGACTTTTTTTAACCTTTTCCACTGATGCTGTTGATTGTGGCTATCAGAACAGTGAAATCAGTACATCCTTCCAATAATGAAAATCTCTGCCATCAAAGATAAATGAGATGATTGATGACAAATGGTACAGAATTCTCTCTCCATATCCACACCATGTTGTGACTAGGCAGTCAAACATCATTAAAAAGTCTTGTGTGGAAACTGGGGACAGCTAGCCTCAAGGTAGGATGGTGGAAGAAAGCTCTGCCAAAAGACCACTGTGTTTTTCTTTTAAAAATGTATTATGAAGATTATAATATTAAGATCTTGCTTAACACAAACATCTTAGAATCCTTGCTTGCTGTTTCCACACAGTCAAATGCCTTTTGGCTTATGTGAAGATAGCAACAGCATTTAGACTTATATACCAGTGGTGGCGAACCTATGGCACGGGTGCCAGAGGCGGCACTCAGAGCCCTCTCTGTGGGCACGCGTGCTGTCGCCCCAGTCCTAGGCCTTCAGCTGGGTTTTATAAAACCTTTTCACTTTAGGCCTCCGTGCAAAAAAAAAAAAAAGGTTCAATCAGTCAATTTCAACTTCTCGCGGAAAAAAAAAGATCTTGCAAAGTTGGAATTGATTGATTGAACTTTTTAGTCCCACCCAGTCTGTCGTTACCACTGCAGCCACGACCACCCAATTGGCCACACCCAGCCAATGGGCCACACCTACCCGGCACTTGACGATGCATAAGTGGGTTTTGGGTTGCAGTTTGGGCACTCGGTCTCTAAAAGGTTCGCCATCACTGTTATATACCATCCCATAGAACTTTGCAGCACTCTCTGGGTGATTTATAATGTAGAAGATTATTTGCATAAGGCCCCCAACAATCTGGGTCATCATTTTACTGACCCAGTCAACCCTGAGCCCTGTCAGGATCAAACTCCAGGCTGTGGGCAGAGTTCGCCTGCAATATTGCAATCTCATTACTGTGCCACCTGAGCTCATGATGAATGGCTTCAGTGCTTTTATGCAAACACAGTTAAGACAATGCTAAAAGCGGTAAATAAATTGGAATATGATCTGGTTATCTGAGGAATTGTTTTTCTCCCATAGTTGTACCAACCCAGCATGCCCTGGATCCCATCCTTGAAGTACCATTATTGATGGGTCACTGGAGAGTATGCCTTCCCTGTTGTGGCACCTATCTTCTGGAACGGTCTATCCCCCATCCCCAGAGCTCTGCCTTGCCCTGACCTGGCTGCCCTTTAGGAAACCCTTTTCTCTGTTCTTGGGATTACTATTTTCTGTAGTTGTCTGGCATGATCAGACCTGGGTTTTTGTTTTTGTTTTTTTGGATATGATTAGTTTTATCACGTCATGCAATTTTATTAGGGATTTTTAATTGATTGTTTTTATTGTAAGCAATCTAGAGCAGGGGTGTCAAACTCAATTTCACTGAGGGCCGCATCAGCATTGCGGTTGCCCTTGGGGGGCTGGGTGGGTGTGACCAGGGTGGGTGCGGCCTACTGGGTGGGCATGGATGGAGTGGGTATGGCCTACTGGGTGGGTATGGCCAGCTCTACATTGTCCGCCCCACTGCCTGCCGAAACCCCTCTCCCAGAGCCCATCAAGCCAGATATATGAAGTAGGCGAGGGCCATTTGCTGGCCACTTCCAGGCGATGGTGCATTTCTTCATTCCTCACAAAGGGTGACATCTCCTCAGCATGCACCCAGGGGGCGGGGCCGACGCGGCGGGGCTGGTTCCTCGCTGTGTCCAGATGGTCTTGTGGAGCTAAGACTGAATGCATTTCAGCATAGATGGCCATCACAAAATTGTACATTGGCTCCCGGCTGGCCTGGGCCAGGGCCAAGGCAGAGGGGGCCGTTCCCTCACTGTTTCCAGAATGGCTTCGTGGGCCACATGAAACTACTTAGCGGGCCGCATCCGGCCCCCGGGCCTTGTGTTTGACATGTCTGATCTAGAGTAAGCCCCTATATTTTGTGGTACCATACCTTTGATAGATAAATGAATAAATCGCCACTGAATGCACAGAGCAGCAGATTCTCTCAAAAGGGTTGTTTGCATCAATTTGTAAGGCAAGGAAGAATGACGATCCTAATTAAGAAGGACGTGCAAGGGGCTCATACAACATTTTGGATGAAATCAAAGTGGCTTTTGAATAACTGAACTGGTAGATATGATTCGACATTTCAGTGTTTCAGCTGCAGTGGATTTAGTGCCAAGCCAGGCTTTGGATTGTTAATGTTCTCAGAATAGATTGGCAGCAGATGCAGCATTAAAGTTGTCAAGGGATTACCAAAATGTGCAATTTGAAAACTAATCTCTTGCTCAAATCTGTTTAATACAGGTTTCCCAAGGACTTGTCTGCAAATTTGGTATGGGAAACGCCACTTGGCCCAGCCCTATCAATATGGTTCATTTATCTAGAAACAGGGAAGTGTTTTGCCCTTTACCTCAACTAAAACATTGGTATGCTTACCTGTTGTGTAGCCTCCCATAATTTCTGCTGGAGCCATTCCAATTTGAGCTGAACCCCCACTGCTACGGGAAAACAGAAGCAAAAAAAAGAAGAAGGGAAGATTAGAGAAAAAAACCAAGATGTATTATAGGGGCAAAACTGACGTTTTCCTCAGAGATACTGGAGGAAGTCACACCTCTAATAAGTGTAAATGACAGGTAAATGCTGAGTCAGATCAGAAAGTGAGAGTTAGGGGTTTAACGAGGGGAAAGGAACCGGATCTATCAGCTGGTGTACTGAAATCCTGACACCTAACTCCCACTGAACACTATCAAGATAAAACAGCCTGACAAAATACTTTCCCCTTTAATTGATGTATAGACAATTATATAAGCCATGTCTTGCAGTTACAATTCATTAAAGGGACACGGTCAGCCTCTTACTCTAAAGATGGAAGATAGCTGTTAACTTAGCTGAAAAGTGTACATTTCTGTCCTACTTTCATTAAATCTACAGGGGGAGGAGACGGGACCAGGTCTTGAGACGGTTGTGTGGGAGGAGTTTGACTCTGTTGCTCCCGAGGACGTGGACAAGGTCTTGGGGAGGCTGAATGCAACCACATGTTTATTAGATCCGTGTCCCTCCTGGCTGGTACTGGCAGCTCGGGAGGGTACACGAGCCTGGTTCCAGGGAATTATTAACGCTTCTCTGC